ATGTGCACAGGGCACTTTCTCAGCAAAAACTCATATTACAGCTCTTTTGAGGAACTTTGTGTTTGTGTTGACTTGGGTGGCCCCCGTGGACAAAGCTGAACTTCCGAAACCTTTTACTGATTTTGTCTCATCCTGCTGTCTTTAAGTGCCAAACGTAACAGCGTGTGGAAGAAAGTCAAATGAGGCTGCTTCACTTCTGCAGTGTGCTGACAGCATTATCAGAAATGGTTAATCTCTTCATTGATGGTCTTGTTTGTTTATGGGTCATACAAAGGCATCACCTTTGATTCCAGTCTGTCCTAAACTCAATCAAAAACTCCTCACAGGAGCTTTAATTCACACGTATCCTGAACTAGTTTCAAGTGTTTTTTCTTTAAAGTGTTGCACTTCACTTTGATGCCTCCATAATGACCCTCCTATCAGACACTGTAATGAAATTTACTGCAAAATGGTGTGAGAGACATGAAAGAATCTGCAGCAGTGAAGTCTGTAACAATTCTTTTTTGTAGCCTTGACAATGTTGATCCTGTGAGGCACTAATGCCCTGAATTAGAGCAGATGAATGGGCCACTCTCCTGGTCATGACAGGGTTTCACTAGCCATCTAGTCTTTCTCTTTTCATCTTACTCCCTTTGGTGGATCCCTGGTCCAAATGTTGTCCCCTTTCTTCTGGTCTCAATTTCTGTTCATCAAAAGAAAGGTGAGCATATGTCCAAATCCTGTGGCCTCAGCCACAACATACTGTGTTATTAGAGCTGAAATTGGAGGGTTCTGCTAAAAAAACACACACAAGCAAGGGCACACACGCACGCACACACACACGCAGGCACGCACTCACATTCAGACTTAAACAAAGCATAATGGCCTATAGACACACAAAGTGTACAGCACATATGTAGAGATATCTTCATACCTGCCAACATGAACAAAAACACTAACCTATTGGACCCTGAAATGTGTACTCTCACACACACACAAACACACACACACACACACACACACACACACACACAGGCATTTGATGTTCTCCCATGTTTGAAGCCAAATTCTTGTTATCACTGCTCGCTCTATACCTTGCTCCATTTTCAGGCTTTTTGAGGAGAGTCCAGGGCTTTTATGTGAGAGCCACCGTCTATACAGAAGCCAACAGTCTCAGAAGCGGTGACATACTGACTGATGGTTAACATTTCCAAACCCTCGCCTTATATTAATACATGACAGCTACTACCAAACTACAGTGAGTGGAAACCACACATAGGCCCCTCGGACACAGATAAAGATGGGGATATACACTCAAGATTAAGATATACCACTCCTGTCTGACAATGTAAGATATATCCAGCTTTATATGTCATGTATCATCACTTTATCAAGTCTCTCTACCCCTGCAGCACATCTCTACCAACAGGACTCCCCTCCTCCTCACATAGATACCCTCTTCTTGCATTCCTGCGAAAAACAACATACAGACAGAGGAGGAAGACACAAACCATTGGGCCTGAAGTTACCTTTTGCTGTATTGTGTTAGAAGAAGAAACAAGACCTTCAGGGGGGCTCCAATTGAACAAAACATTTAAGGTGTGGGAGTGGGCCTCGTGTTCAAACATATTCCAGACTTTGAGAGTTTCTAATTTTTCAACTCTGTAAGGGGTCGTTTTGCTCCTGCATCTAAATAACATTAAAAGAAATCACAGAATTAGTTACAACACAGGCAGATAGACTCGGTCAGAGAATCGATGAGTGTGAGGCTAAGATGACATTATAAAAAAATGATTTTTTTTCACCTGAAAGAGTAAAGACTTATTATCAGAGACATCAGCTTTGGGTAGGTTTGGATTCAACTGAGCACCAAGATGAAGAGCAGCTGATTTATTTGGAGACAAAACAATGAAATCTATTTTGCTTTTCATACTGAATAAACACAAATGTTTCCAAATCCTTGCAGTCTATCAAGGAACTGTGCTGAAACAAGACTGTCATGTGCCAATACATATTTTCTTGTCCTCTCAAATTACTTGATTAAAAGTGAAACATAAATATTCACAGGATCCACTCCATGCCTATTGCTTTTGTGAGGCAGTCTTTCACTTGCAGAGGAGGTGTATGTAAAACTGGACAGAAGGACACAGCTGATGCGATGCGTCTTCCATTTTGGACTCCTAAATAAGCACTGTCAAGATGCTGTTTAATTAGTAAACACTGTGAATTGGTGTTAAAGTTGAATCCTATGCAAATTGACTTAAGCTTGGCAGACAAATACACATACTCAGACAATTCTATTGATTTTCTTTTTGGTGTGAAATTTTGCAGGGCCCTAAAGCCAAAGCCAGCAGTTTACACCTCTCTTTATGACAAGATAGTTTCAAGCTCACAGGATGACAGAACAATTTTTTGGCTGTTTGATTATGTAGAGACCTGCACCCACCCAAGAAAGAAATATAAAAAGGAGATTTTGTCTATGCCAGATTTATGCTGTCTTTCAGATGAGCTAGTTTACATCATCCAATGAACATGCAACATATACCAAGTTCCTCATAACATCATGAAATATGAAAAAATGAAATAATATATCATAACACACAAAGACTTACCGTACTGCAACGTGAGGTCTGGTAACATAGCATGTATGATGACATATGTGTCATATAATGTCATATCGTACCGCACTGTGTAATGCCATATGGTATTGTATGGTGCTATAATATCAAGTCATACAGTATCTTACTGTATCTTCATACATTGTCTTGTATCGAATTGCATTGTATCGTACCATAAAGTATTGAATTGTTCTGTGAAGTATCGTATCGTATCGTATCGTATCCTATCATATCATATCATATCTTACTGTTAAGAAACCTATTGTATCATACCATTAGGTATCATATTGTATCATATCGTACAATTGAGTTTCGTATCATACCGTGAAGTATCATATCGTACTGTAACGTATTGTATCATATCGTATCGTACCATGAACTATTGTAACGTATCATATCATATTCTATCATATCGTACAATTGAGTTTCGTATCGTACCGTGAAGTATCATATCATTTCATACCATAAGGAAACGTATCGTACAATTAAGCATCGTACTGTAAAGTATTGTATCATATCGTATCGAACCATGAACTATTGTATCATATCGTATCATATTGTATCTTACTGTTGTGAGACGTATTGTATCATACTATTAGGTTTCAAATTGAATCGTATTGACAATTCAGTATTGTATTGTACCGCAAAGTATCATATCGTACCATAAAGTATCATATCATATCATATCAAATCATGTAGTATCTTATCGTTAAATATAGTATCATATCATACCATTAGGTATCATATCGTATTGTATTGTACAATTAAGTATAGTATTGTACTGTGAAGTATCATATCGTACAATTAAACATCGTATCATGAAGTTTTGTATCGTACTGTCAAGTATTGCATCGTATACCATTAAGTATCGTACCATATCTAATCTTAAAGTATTGTATCATATCATGTAATACTGTATCATATATCAAAGCCTAATGTATTCCATCATACCCTGTTGTATGGCATGCCGTGGTATAGTATGGTCTGGTATGTGATCGTATTTTATCATAAACATCATTCCTTTTATGTTACAGCGGCTTATTTGTGTTTCTATCCTGCTTTATTTGAACTGTTTGGTGTCTTATTGCTGTGTGGTGTATTGTGTTACATCTCATGTAATGTATTGTATCCTTCTGTATTGAATCTCACTGTATTATATCATATTGTATCCTGATGTATCATACTCTATTGTATCACATTGTATTGCACGATTCAAGGAGAAGTGCTAGCTGTTCTCATAATATTCGTGATGTGTTGCAGTTTTTTTCTGCGAGTATGAAAAGACAGAAAAACTGGAAGGACAGTAAATGGAGAAAATGCTGTTACACAGAAAGGGGAAAACCAGAGAAAGAAAAAGAGAGGACAGGGTGAGGGTTGAGGGTGTACTTAACTCTATTGTTCTAAAAATGTTCACTTCCTTTTCAAACACATATTTGATTTACTATTTGGCAGGATTTCAATGCACTTTTACCCTCCATTTTCAGCAGAGGAGGAGTTAGTTGACACTCTCAATTCAGAACTCCACCAAAAGCTGAGGGGGTCCCTGGAGAATCACTCATTCATTCAGCATTCCCATCAGCCCATTAGACTGGCCATCAGCCAACATAACTGCTTCCTGTTTCTCTAAGACACCTTTTTCATCCTTGGTGTAATTCAGTTGTTTGAGAAACTTCCACGGGTAGAGGCAGTATATTGCTGTAGCTCAAGGATTTTCATGCATTTAAGAAACTAAACCAAATATCAGGATAACACTGGTGCATTTATTCCTGCAATTCATTGCCTGCCTGAAAGGCTTGGAAATGGAAAAAGATCAGGTTGAGATTTGAATCCACAGTAAGAGTGCCTGGAGTTGCAGTGTAAGTGAAAAAGTAAAGGGTCAACACATGTAATTGGATTTCACAGATGCAACAATTTCCACTGGATACAGTGTGAGTGCATCAGTGGCAGAGAGCAGACACCTTCCTTGAGTTACACAGGAATACAAGTAATTCTCCAGTAGACTATTTCTGGTGAGCGTGAATAAGAAATCTCACATTTTAAAAGTCTTATTACAAAAAAAGTTGTCATCATTTGCACTGAGTTAAATTTTCACGTTTCAAGTCAGATGATTTTAAATGTTCTCCCTTAATATGTTTTACACTAACTTGATTTTGCCCAAGTATTGTCATGTCATCACATTATATCGCTTACTGCATATGCCAATCACGTACATCAATAGATGATTGTACTACATGCATACATGCTGCACATAAGCCAAATTAAAGTATAGAAGGTTAAAACACAGGAACAAAATTGTGTTTTTTATACATGTAGGGCATAAATTATGTCCGGTCTTGCAAGCTTGATGCCACCGTCGAACAGCTAGTCAATGGAGAGGGCAGGGAGAAGCAATGGAGCGAAGTAATGTGTAATCTTACTACTCAATGGGCTGTGCCCAGCAACGGGCCTCTGAATGCTGGAAGTGTCAGAGAGATAAATAGCAGAGTGTCCCCCTCGAAAAACATGATTAATACCCCGCCTGGTGACGCTGCTGAAGATGAAGTGGGAGCAGCTGGCTCAGGCAGCGTAGGCACGCAGGGAGAGGTGGGAGGGGGGAACGGGAGCGAGCGCAACGGAGCAGAGAGGGCAAAGAGTAGGACACACTGGTAGCTAGGGGAAAGGAAGGCAAGGCAAGGGCAATCTAGGCCAGCATAGGCAACGGGACCCCTACCTCCCTTCATTCCCATGTATGTAGCCCTTTCTTTCCTTTTTTGTCATGGTCTAGCACTTAAATAATCTTCAGATACCCTCCTCGTTTTTATACATAAACACATGCAGACTTCATACCTGCAAATGAAAGTGAAAGCTCGTCTTTTAATCACACAAATCTGACAGGAAATAAAGGCCTCCAGGAAACTCATCTCAATTCAATTAAAAGCCCAATAGTTCAAAATCTTGCCATTTATCACATCCGGAATATAGCGGAAAGTCCCACTCATATGTGGCACTCAACCATTTTCATGAGTGTTTTTAACATGAGTGTGCACAATGGTGAGAGTGGCAGGAGGTGATGATGGACTACAGAGCTGGCTGCACTCCCTTCATGCTAATTTCGTTATAAAAAAAGAAAAAAAGTGCCTTTTCGTATTATTCGGCGACAAAGCTCTGCCATTCGGACAGCTTTGTGACCACACATGTATCTCCAAACACCTCTCAATTGTTTCTCAGAAGACCAAGTTTTGTCAGTCACTGAATATCTTGGGTACAGTGAAGAAGGAGAGCCTCCTTTTCTGAGTGAGGCCTGTTTCTATGAAAAGATTTGAAACTCCGAAAACAGAGTACAGAACACATGGAGTTATTGGGTCTGTTCTGTTGTGTAAGTAAACATGTCGAGGGGTGGGCTACTTTTTCATGGTTCAGGGGCCCCAACCCTCCCCTCACACAATTAACTTTTCCAGTGTAATGAGATGATTGATATGCTGGAAGTGTGTGCTTTAAGGAGATATTAATCATTCCCTCTGGTAATTTTAATCATGCGTTCCATCATCCCCAGCTGCTGAGGATCACCTTCCTTGCAAACAAAGGGCGGCCACGCCACTTGCATAGTCATTCTGTTCTAGTTTAACTTTATTTTATGCTGGTTCCTCCCATCTGTTCGCACAAGCCTCCACAGCCCACGTTGCACGTTGACAAGCTGGGGAAGCAGTGTGTGGGTGGGTGATTGTATGAGTGTGTGTGTGTGTGCATGTATGTGTGTAAACTTTAGAAACACAGGCATCTTTGAAATGGTAAATCTAATCCTCCAGGTCCGTGACTAGTTGGTACATAGCCACCAGCCACCTCCACTAACACGTACAGTAATGCATACAAACAGGGGACACATGCACACACGCTCACACAAACAACAACACAAAATCATACATATAAGGGCAAACATACAAAAAACATGTACACAAACACATATACAAACACAAGCGTATACCACATGGTGTGGGCAATATGTCAGAGCACAGCATAATTTGGCATTTGAACCAGTCACTATTATTGGAAGTATGAAGAAATGCTGCAGGGGGAGATTTCTTAGATGACAAACAACTTGGAAACTCTTTCTCTCCCTCGACTGCCTTGAAAGTCAAAGAGACTTAGATATTCCCAAAACACTGATTAGTTCATGTTGAGCGCCTCCATTGTGCTGTACTGTACCTCTGTGTTGTAGTTCCCTGTTTTTACCGCAGGCTAAGGAAGATTTGGAAGGGTATTCCACAATCAAAGGCATTTCTCCCATGACTTTTATTCAGCTGCTGTTTTGTCGCAGTAATGGCCACAGGGAAGCTTGTAGTGACCCTGAGGTGTTAAAACGAAAAATGCAACCTTTCTGACGATACAAAAGCTAAAACCTCTTCTGTGCCAAATATGGACTCCAAGCATTTCCCTTGGCTTGAGTCTAAAAAATACATACAGAAAATAAGCATTCACAGACAATAATGTTTAGAAGGAATGAATGGTGCATAATGTAAATATAAAAAAACCCTGCAAATCGGTTCTGACTGAACAGTCTTGCTTTTTGTACACATGGGCTGATAAACAAACTATTGCACTTGAACGCAAACCGGCATCAACTGGAAAATTCATCCTGACAAGTGCCATAAATGCATGCTTAATCATGTACAAAATAAGTGACAAGCAGATGACAGATATTCCATCATCAATGCAGAAGTTTGTGAAAGTTATAAAAGGGGGCTTGTCTGGTTGTGCACAGATTAGCAGTGCCTGCATGCAGTCAGAGGCCAATGCAAAGTAGATAGGTTAATCCCCAGGACGAATTGATAGGACACATCCCTAAATACTCAGAGCTTCACTGCTTCTAAAAAACCCATTAATTGTGCCCAATATGAAAAAAGTAATTTAATTTTACATGGAGTCCAGCCTCATCTGTTATCTGTGGCACACTTCTGCATAGCACGTAACAGGTAATGGAGGTTTTCAGGGGCTATTCCCTACTTATTGTCTAATAATGATGAATGAATATGCCGGAAAGTGACAGGTGTTTCTCTGCAGAGTGGCATCTATTTGCAACTTTCCTGGAAATCAGTTCTTTTTCACTTGGAGGACAAGAAGCAACTTTAGGAAACACAAGGATTTACTAGGACATAATGTCCCAGGACTGAGGATAAACCCAAGATATCTAAAAAATATGTATACTGAAGAACTACATTAAACTTTAAGCTTTTACTGCACCAGTACTGGACAATGACTTCTTCTTCTAGTTTTGAAAAGTCTTTCTTTGAAAATGTCTTAAAATTGCCACTTGAGAGGGGTGTAATAAATGCTTGGACAGCTATTAAAACTTGATAAAAAACAAGGGCTTTTAAATAAAACATAAAACAGTTCAAAACATCTTTTGATATAATAGCAGCAGTTGGTGCCAACAAACTTAAATAAAGTGTCATTGAGTGGAGATCAGTGCCATCGCTTGATGAAACCACAGTGAAGTTGAAATATACATCACAAAACCAGCAGGTGTGTTTCCACAGGCCACACAGCACCAGTATTACTAAAAAATCGTGTTTTATTTAAAATAAGGGCACAGTTTGTGAGATTCTCATGCATTCCACAGCATCACACATGATATGACTTTATCTTTATCGCACATCTCAATGGCGTTGATAGAGCGGAGCTCCTTACAGCAACTGTTTTGTAAGGGGTGCTTTCAAAGAAAAGCAGCCCTCATTATTTCCACCTTGCTTTACCCTGGCACTCCTGCTCCACTGCATGACTAAAAGACAATTAATCCTAATAATCAGGGCCGTAGCCATCATTCCTCATTCTGGCAGGCCTCTTTTTCCATAGGGGCACGGAGGGAGTGCCCGAGCCATGGATCTCTGCTGCACAGATGAACCTCTTACAGATGTTGAGTGAGCAGCACAGTTAATCGCTTAGCCATCTTATGGCCCTCACATATGTATAAAAATGGAAAAGTGAAGGTGGTGTTTTATCATCTCATGTCTGTCATGTCTGCTGCTGAGTGTGACGCTGTGCTGTACGTGGTTTATACTTAGTTTGGTGTTTTAAGCCGTGTCATTCAGCACTTAGTGGAATAATTAGAAACTTATCATAGAAAATAACAGTGTGGGCACCTGTTCACTCTTCCTTTAAACATGCCTGCACTCGTAAACATAGCCTTGATCCATATATTCAATTAAAACATGATCACGTCTGCTGAGGCGATGACTCTTAAATTGAGCAGAAATGTGCACACTTATGTCAAAATCGTGCACACTCTTTAGCGAGCAGTGCCAAAGCACAGTGACAACCCTTTCATATTGCAGCAGAGAGGCTGTGATGCAATGTTTGACTTATCAGCATGGGGACCTAATCTTCTCAAATTAGTGCCCAAATGTTTGGTGAGTGCTACAGGCCCAGTGTGTGGAAGCAGAGGGAGTGCTATGACCGCCGCAGACAGGAGGCCCAGGCAAACAAGCAGATGCTAAGGGGCTGCTTTAGATGCGGATGAAGAAAATCACCATCACAATGCACCAATTATGGCAAGTCTCAAATTCACTAGGCTGGAGCACAGTGTGTTCTCACAGCATCCCACACAACAAGCTCATTAGGCCAGCACACATCCTCCCTCTGATTTAGGCTGGAGGAATTAATGCAACAGCACCTGGTCTCTCCCAGCCATCCATCCTGCCATGTACAGCCGGCCACGCTCAGGTTATGCATTATCTTCTTTAAAAGCGTGAAATGTGGCCACCCCTGCTCAGTTTTAAGCTACACCTCTCTTTTTCCAGGGTGCTATGTGAGGGGCAGGCATATTAATCACACTCACAGCCACTAATGCTAACAATCAGTCAACACTGTTGGCCAGGCTCTCCATCTCTGGTGACAGGGAGGTTTGTCCTGAGGCCTGCTGATTTGTCCTGCTAGGTTTACCTTGAGGACAAAATATGTAACACAGGCTGCTTTTTCTTTGTGCAATCCTCTTCCTCATTGAGAGAGAAAGAAAAAAAGAAAATGATTACACCATAACTTGAAACTTCAGTTTTAAAATAATAACAACAATCCTTTTTTGGTCCGTAAAATCACAATCCATTTACATTTAACACATTAAATAGCGCACACTCCCAAGCCAAATCCGGTTTGGGATAGACTAATTTGTAATTGGAGTCATTTTCTACAACATGGATACAACATATGTCAAACAGTCAAGTTTTGATAAACTAACAGCTGGCTGGTTCAACTGAGAGGAAACTGCCTACTGAGCAAGAGTGATCTCTCCCTGAGTGTCATCCGCCAGCAGCATGAGGCAGAACCAGCATGTTCGGATTCCTACTGTACACCAAGAATACGGCTCCTCTTGTCAACTTCACGCTGACAAGTGGAACATTGACACAAATTAATACAAAACCTGCACAATTAATTCCATCCTGAGCCTCAACTTGCTTAAAAAACACACAAATAAATGAACAGGAAATTGTGTGCGTGGAATGTGTGTGTTTGTATGAGAGTGCGTCTTCTGGTTGTTATTTTGTCCCATTCCCGAAGAAGAAATGCTAATTATTGGGCTTCAGGTAGCGTAAAATGTACAGCTGTGGTGACTGTCAGTGCTCGGTGGACTATTGAGCTGGTGTACGTCTTGACAGTGGGTGGTGTCTCTCGCTCTCATCCCAGGAATCACCCAGTGGCATTGCCATCTTCTGCCAACGTCAATCAGATGACTGCTTTCAAAGCACAAGGGAATCAAGCTGTACCTGCCATTCTTGAAACTCTTATGCTGTTTCACTGTCTGTTCATAAACACTTTTACTGTATATATACATGGAAGAAAATGCGAATCAACCTTTCAGACTTGCTTGAGTCTTGTGTTTCTTTTTTAGATCAGCTCGTCTTCATAGCTAGAGTGACAGTTCACGCTCAGTACTTATAAGGAGTCTGCTAGAGACAGCTGTGTGCTATGTTCACTTCTTTACATGACTGTATGACACAAGTCTCCACTATTTGTTAACAAAATGTTTCTTTACACTCCGCACTGATGTTAAGCCAGATTGTTGGATCTTGGGACCAAACTTCATCGACCAGCTTGACGTCAACTGTGATTACTTCATTTATGAGGAGTTCCAGATGTTTGAGTCTTCACTCCAGGGGATTGTTGCAACTAGCACACACATAATTTGGACCCATGTGCTGCTGCAAGGCTTGGCAAATAAACTCTTAGGGTACAATTGGAGAGATGTTATTAGAAGTGTATGTAACCAATAAATGACTTTTTAATAGTAATTACTTGTATGTTTGCCATGGGGGAAAAATGGTTGAATTTGGCAATGAATTGTTTCAGAAGTCTCAACTGTGAGAGTAGTTGATTGAAACTGGTTCAATTATACTAAATTAATGCTGTCTACTGTGGAAGACGAGAACAGCTACAGATTTTCTCTTTTTTTCTATGCAACGTTATCTCATCATAACAACTTGTTATCTCAATATAACAAAGATTGTTTTCTCGTGCTAACATTTTTTTTCGTTATCTCGACGAAATGATCGTTTTCTCGTGAACGGAAATGGTGTTTTAGCCAACCTAGCATGCCCTCCAGAGTGGGATATTTCCAAAACGCTGCAGCTACCATGGTCAACAGCAAGCAGCCGGAAATAAAAACGCAGACGGTAAGCTGCACTTTGTGTTTGTGCATTACGCTTTTGAAATGGGAACATTTAACTGCCATGGGCGAATCGGACGACAACAGTAACAATGGCAGACACATTTATAATTTATCTTTTATCTAGAGAAAAACCTCTTTGTTATGTCAAGATAACAAGATAAGTCATTATCAAAAGATAACAGTGCATTAAAAAAAAAAGAGAAAAACCCTAGGCTACTCTTGTATTCTGTAGTCTACACTGTGCTATGGTACAAATGATATTGATTCTGAGTGACTCCACAAAAGAATGGCATCTGAAGCACTAACTTTCTTTTTCCACTTATTCATCAGACATTTCAGAGAAGGTAACATTGTGAACCCTGGTATAAGATCTCTTCCTTTGTAAACTGTTTTGGTCCCAAGTCCCAAAGTGTGTCATGGGGCTGACCACAGAAGGAATCAGGAATGTTTGGTGACATAACCACCTTCTAGCACAGGACACAGAGGATCTCCTGGGTGTTTCACTGTGTCTACAGGGAAGTATCAGTGTCTGAAACCCACTGAACTCAAAGTCTTGAGTAGTGTGAGAACTCAGCTGACACCATCTTCCTCCGGTATTGAATGTTTGCCAACTCAAGCAAAAGGCAACATGTGACAACCCTGGTCTTGAACCTCAAGGTCTAAATAGTGTGGTCACCAACTTGTGTAACTCTGCGGATTTCAAACCACCAAGAGACCATTTTAAGGAATTGCTCATTTTACTGTCACTGACAAAATAGCTGCACATTTGGAGTTCAGCACATTTCATCCACGTATTATCCGTGTGCCTACAGCCCCATTATATCCCTGTTTACTATTTGACATGAGATTTTAGGAGGGAGGGGGCCGAGATGAAGTTTTTAGCTTCCCAAAATTCTATTTGTCACAATTTTAAATCTGCCTAGATAAACCAAAACCCGTTTTTAAAGAGTGATCGTCTGACTTCAAAGATGAGTCAGATGAGTTGCCCTACCTCTCAGTCCATACTCAGAGGATGAAGAGTTAAAAAGGGTTGAAAAGGTTCATTGTGATAGCCAATGCATGAAAATGTTTACATGCCGTGATGTACAGAAGAGGCTAAAGAGCCCCATTAGTGGTTTTAACCACGAATCATAAAACTTTTGTGTTGTTTCACATCAGTTGTTTCATAACTCCGGAGTTATATAAGTTAGAGTCAATAAAGTTATTCTTATTCCTATACTGTATCATCTCATGATATATTATAACCATCTTATCATGTAATTCCTTAATCTTCATCGATGCGTTTTTAAGACATGGTAGGACTGCAAGACGCACAAAGTCGCAGTTTTTTTAGTTCACTGAAGACATACATTCATTGATCGTGTAGTGCAACTACGCTGAGTCACACTTGCCGAGTCAAAGTGCACAACAGGGAGATGTTAAGGGACAAAATAAGCTGAAAGAGGGGGAAAATGTAAAACAGAGCATATGTAGTTGAGCAGGGTTGAAACTCACTTGGCTGATTCCGTTGCCCAAGGGACAGCTAACACTAAAATGCTCTTTGACCATGAAATGGCCCTGCCCGGTAATGGTGGTTAATGGCTGTATGGTGCAGTGGTGCCGAGGCTAGGCAGGAGGGAGACCTAATAGGGGCATCCTGCCTGCTCCAGTAGGCTCCATCCATTGAAGGAAAGAGGAGAGCTGGGTAAGTAGAGATGTTTTGCTTGAAATTATAAATGTTCTATGCTACAGTCAGTAGAGTTCATGTATGATGGGTACATTTACAGCATGGTTGAAAAAGAGAGTGTTTGCTGGGTTGAAAAGTGACAAAGAACTAGTAGAAATGTGTCTCTATTTGCATCAAGGGGAGAGCATTAAAAAAAATTATGTCATAAATCAAAACTTTTTTGAAGTTTTGATTTATGAACTGAGAAATGTGCCATTTTTCATGTATTCTAATGTACTTAGCCAAAATCATAACCGATAAGACTGCAACCACACTATTACACATAGGTGCACTATATAATGATTACTCATTTTCTAAGACAGTTTGACTCCATGAAAGATACATAAAAGAACAAGAAATGCAATTTTACTACTCACACGATTTATGTACAGATCAATGTTTAAATTTTTTATATAAAAACAAACATAAAAGAACAAGATCCTACATGTACATTATTAATTGTACCACATTTTCTACAATATTTTATGACCTCTTTATTATTTCGAACACGTGACACTGGCCTAAAACAGATCATGTTTGGTTCAGTTGACCTTTAGATGAGACCATATATTCTACCCTTTATCCTTTGACCCTTTGACTCCTGATCTGCACCTGATTCATCGCGATCCTTGCGACCAGCTATCAGCCATCTTGAAGTGACTCTGACTGCTAACGTCCTGCCCTCGTCAGTGCGAGGTTTCACCACTTTGCCCTCAAGCTGAAATGTTTAAAGAGCAAAACCCAGAGGCAAGATGTGGGTATCAAGACCTCAAAGAAGCAGCGGCATATCATGGGCTAACCACGGCCAGATGAGGTTAATGTTTGAAAGCCATCTGGCAGTACAGCAAGTGACAGGACAGAGGTGATGCATGTATTGTGGCCTCAAAGTGTCTCTTTCTAAAGGTCATTATTGAGAGTTAAGACATTGCACCACCAGACCTTTTATTACAAGAAGCCCCACCTCTAATAAATGGACTTCCCGGTACTTCATAGAGGGACTGAGTATGATTTCAAATAATATATCAAATTCAGATTTGAGGAATAGAAAACACAAGAACCCAAGTAAGACGATAAAGCCTCTGAGACATTAAGAAAACTCCTTCAGCTTGTTGCTAAGCTGATTTATCTGCCTGTCACTTCATTAAAGGAAAGTTCTGCACACAATGTTTGGAGGTTGTTTGCAGGACAATACTGACATCTTAGAAAGTGATAGTGAATTAACTCAGCTACACGGCATGCCAATTACACAAAGTAATGAATTTAAAGACATACATAACATCAGGAGTTGTTTCTAAGGATTTTACTCAGTCTGAGTTGAACACTATTTATTCTTTTTAAACGAGCAAAGCATTGGCTTATATGAAATTATTAGATAATAAGTCAAATGATTTCTACCAAATTCTATCAGATTCCAGGGGTGGCATAGGGCTCTTTTGAAATCTGATAAGCCACCTTGGGTGCCACCCCAAAATCCTCCACTATAGTTTTCTGGGGCAGGACCTACAGCATATTGGAATCAACTATTTGGACTGACCACTGACTGTATGTACAATTGATAACATCACTTCATCTCTAACGGACTCAGTCAATGCTAGCATATTGTGCTGATGCAGCCAAGGCATGCACAGAGGCATAAACAATAAATTAAACTCATAATCTGAGAGAAAAAAAAAACGTTAGATATAAAACTACATGGTAAGAACAGAGAAATTTTTTGACCTGTATTTTGATTTTCTTGTTCGACCCCTGGTTCCTTCTGTTAACATACAGAAGATGAGAGTAATACTGCAACCAGCCAGTAGGGAGTGCTCTTAACCTTTTAGCTTCATAGACAAGGAACACTTATGGCGCCAATTTTAATGTACAATCTACAGTTGCAATAGATTGCTACTAGCTTTCTTTGCATGTAAATGTAGCAAATTTTCTAATGTACATGCACAGACAGATACAGATACATCCAAAGTTAAGATGCTGAGTTTACATCTGACTGATTGTGCAGCTAATCCGGTTTTAATCCGATTTGACAATGAGTCGTGATAAGACCCTGAGTCATCAGCCGGGGACTAGACAGCAAGAGAAGCAAAGACAACTGAGGGTTAAGCTGCAAACCTCTTCTGACAAACCCTGTCTGAGAAAGCTTTAGTGGACAAAGTGACAAGTGAAATATGGGGTCATCTATCAGTCATTCATCAATGAACCCATCCTGTCATCATTTAAATTTTGAGCACTGGGCAATATTAACCTTTCTAACCCTGAGTCGCTCAGGACAGCTTGGCAATGCCTGAGAGTGACAGGCACAGTATCAGAGTAACTGTTGGGTGTCACTGTAATAAATGCTTCCAGTCACATAAAGCCATGGATGAAATGGTAGCAGCATGTTGATAAGCACTTGAGGAGCTCTTCATAAAAGTCTTATCCTAACTGCTTTACACATCAACGCTTTGGCAACTCTATGTGGACTATACAGACATAAAATTTAACTACTGTTTTTTTTTAGTGATGATATTTTAAAACAATTACTAACTTGTGTCTCATACAACTGCTTGTCCTTCGTGCTCTTGGAGAAAGTTCTGCCAAGAAAAGCTGCCAAGGGCCACGCCAAGGCTCAAGGCTATTTAAACTAATCGTTATGAGTGGAGGGAGAAATGTGGCCGTAATGTACAGAGAGTACTTCAGTGACCTCTGCAGACCTAAAAGTTCACTGGTCTTAAGTAAGTATGAGATAAAGTTACATGCAGTGGGAGCTGGGTGATATCCGCTTACTGCAATGCCTTGTGGGAAAATATTGTGGTTGACACAAGGTACTGTGACTCCAGCACTATACAATATTAACTACGATACATGATCAGCAGGGTCCAAATGTAAATAATACCTTGAACATGTTTGGCATCTGTGTCAAATAAAAACTGGAAATCAGTATTGTCAACTTGAGTCAAAAATGGAGGCTTCTCTTCTGCATTTAGCTGGATTATAATCTCTGTTGGTAAATAACTCCCTTTGGAGAAAGAAATTAACCCACATTTCCATATCAAAGTGTTATGCATTGAGCCATTTTCCCTGCCCTCCCATTTGGGCACATAGATAGAGAGTGTAAAAGTAGCCTGCAGTGTTATGCAGGCCATCTCGGTCGTCTTTCTAACAGAAGCAACTCTCTAACAGAGGGAATCAGCAGCTTTCTACTGAAGCGAAGAATGAGATCACTGGGTTTTCTGTGCAAGGTCAACTTCCAGGCAAGACACATCATGTTTAAAATTCAGTCCTATCCTCACCGAGCACTTGAAACACACTGTGCCAGCCGGGGAACCTGCTTGCCATTATGCAAAGAGGCGGCTGGCTTAAAGTAAATACGTAATCTTAATGAATGCTGAGATCTGTGGAGGTGGGAGTGAGGGGAGCCCAAGTCAAGTAGAGAAGGGTCAGAGACGCAGGGTGAATAATCCTGTGTGTCAACAAGACACAGCTAGCCTGCTCTGTACCAATGTAGCTGTGTGTACAGTAAAGTGGGTTTAACACTTTTAACTTATATCTTACCTTTTTGGGTTGCAAAATTAAGGACATGAAGATAATTTCCCAGCTGAATTTCTTTCTTCTATCTAAAAACTGGGACATAATTTCTCTTCTCATCACCCGTAGATAGTAGGTTCACAGGAAATAAACAGATGTGATAATGCAAGTAGGGAAAAGGAACTGTTGTTTGTAGTTTTTAAGATGATATATTCAAACTTCAGTTTTACATTATTCCATCTGAAAACAATTAAAAATAAGGTCTGTTTCTACTATAAAAGACCCTTTGCTTGTTTGTTTTATACATTGTGACCTAGGTCATTGGCCCCGACTTGTCTCAGATGCATAAATTTAAAACAAAAGGACAGCCATTAGATGACATGTCACACAATATAGAGGTCTTGTTCTGGCCTCTTGCCTGCTGGCTGTGTCCTTTGCTTTGCCCACTTTGCTCTGCGAGACTGCCAGGACATTGAGCCTGACACATCAGAACCGCTGCTCTCTTGGTGCCCTCTTTCATTCGCACTATCACAGAGTCAAAGCCTGCAGAGACGAAGCTGTCCAGAGACTGAGCCCTGCTGGGTTTGACTGGGCCAAGATCCGATCAAGCCTCAAGGAGAGGGTCATCCTCTTCCCTGACTTCTACTTGCTATGATCTCTGAACCGATTCTAAAAAGGCCTCTGACTTGATTTGAGCAGACAGTCCCCCTTGAAAGCTGCCTTTGGTTTGGCTTCTGTAGCCTGAGACTGGAAGAGCAGGGTCAGGCTACACACAGGCAGGAGGGAGCTCAAGCAAAGGCAGTGTGAGGAAAAAACAGAGCTCATAGCCATGCTCCAGGTGCAGATGGCACACTGTTTTATGTGTGGCCTCAATGGATTATGTCAGCCAAGCTACTGGAGGCATATAATATGGAGAGATCACACAAAAACATTGTCAACCAAAATTCAAAGATTCATTAAGAAAGGTCATTTCCATGACAGCAAAAGCCTAATAGACAGCCAAGACTCCTGAAGTCACCACGAGGATAAAAGCAAGCTGAATAGAGAAGCTTCAAAAAGAGGATGGAAATCATTATTCCCCCGCCATACAAAAAGGTTTGTACAGTAAACTACAGTCCATTCAGAACCAATTCTCTCGACATGGTCCCATTTACATAAGGTTTTGATGGGTAATGTCAAGAAACAATGTTCAAATTGAGTACTTTACTTAAAATCTAGCTGACAACAAATATGTAGGATTTTTTTAAAGCTTCCAAAGCAAAGAAATAAAAAGGGAGCTCTGACTCAAATGTACAAACAGTCTCATTATTGTATCCACTGGTTCAATTATTGACTGAATAATGCTCTTATGTGTGCACATTGTGATGATTTGATCAAGGCCGACACTACCCTTAAGGAGTCGAGGCTGCAGCAACCCTGAAAACCAATGAGGGTCAAAGGTCAGCAGAGGGGAAGCAAAGATCCAAGTCTCATCCTATTGTGTGACATGTTTCCTGCGCCTGCTCGCCCCAAAGGCTTAGTGTCAGTGTTAACACTTCAAACACTCAATATCTACACAAAACACAAAGGACACAACTGCTTGCCATCCACATCGTTTCTTCCAGGAACAGAGATATGGATCCTTCCCAAAGGTCACTGCCTGCTGAAGTTTCAATGATTAGGTAAAGCTTTGTTGTTTGACTTTTTTCCTTCAGCAGAAATATACTTTAAGGTGCAAATCGAGTAGTCTTTTCAATAATACGGAATCAAATTGAACCACATTTTGTATGTCAACTTGCAAATATAATATTCTTGTTCAATTATGCTTTACCTTTAAAATGTAAAGGTGGGTAATCAAACTCAAATGTCAGATAGGAACAAATATTTTGCCACGAGGACACGCAGACTACCTTTCTGATCATAAGTCATATTTACAAAAGTAGTATGAATGTTGCTTGCTGTGGAACAACAGCAACAATGATTCAAAAAGTTACTATTAGGACTATGACACACCTACATACTCTGCTAGCTCACTTAAGGCAGAATCCTCCACAGGAACCTTCCTTGCCCTGCCTTTCTTGAACCCGTGAACACTGCGCCTGCGAGCATTTCTGATACGCCACCACTGAACCTCATTTAACAACACGCTCCAGAATCAGCATTGTTACCACAGGACTCTCTGTAACCAGAGTCCACCGTCTCTTCTGTTACACATTTATGGAATCATGCAGCAGAACACAGACAGCGTCATTGGCTAATCTCACAAGACCTGTATCCAATTTCAAGCAGGCACGGGTGATTCAAGAATCAATCTGGTTAGCTTTCTGTTTTTAGCCTGCTGCTGTTATACCCTGGGTGCAACTCAAAGAGATCTCCAGTTTCCCTGGATTGTGTCCCTGCTCCAAAGGTGGTAATAAAACACCTTATTTTATGGGTCACTGATTACTCACTGTACCCTGATGTGTGTGCTGAGCAAGTACACAAAGCAAGAGGACTCTCCATATTTACGGTATCCTTCAGTTTAGCATTTATTCTCTTTTTTTCCAGCACCACCGCACATAAAAAATAAAGAAAAATCTTACAAGTGCAGCAGACAAATATATAATTGTTTGTTCAAGTGTGTTTTGCACAGTATGAGACCTTCCGATTGCTGCACCAAGTAGAATGCACCGCAGGCAGTCTCTTGAGGGAAGGTCTCATTTTCTGCCTCCCGCCGTGAAATATTCAGCCTGGCCTGAAATAATATGGGACTCGTTTCAAGGCTTAGCACTTTTCAAATATGCTGGCAATAATGGACAGGGCATCAAATGAAGCACAGCCTCTCATAGCAAGAGGAGCAGAGGTTTTGAATCCCCAGCCAGGGTTTCACATAACACCATAGACAGTTGAAGTGCTGTCTGCATGTACTGTGTCGTGATTAGTTATCGGAGGGATGAGCCTATGAACTGCCAACAATTGAAATTCATGCATCCAACAAATGTATATCACAGTATTATTTCAGAATATATATGTTTGGATGATGCTGAGCACCAAATTATATTTCCATATTTCTATCCTGCTTTTTGCATATCATCAGTGAATCTGGAATTTTATTCAGCCTTAAAAGGAAAAGAGGAAAATCAAGAGTGCACCATAAATGCAATGAGATGGAGTGCAGAAGAATGTAATAGGAGGGGGCTTTGGTGAAAGGATTCAAGGATTTAACAATCCCACATCCTCTCAGCCTGTCCTTCATCTCTAATAATCAAGCTTGGCCACAGAATATCCCTCTGGATGGAAAAAAAAAAAAAAAAAAAACATGTTGCCGGTCCGCCTCTCACTCATCTTTAGACTGCCAGTCTTGGGTCTCCCTCTTGAAGTCTTCTGTCACATTTATGGCTTCAAACAGCAAGCACGGCCTTTTTTTAACTGACTGCCATGTCTTTAAAGGGAGATATCTTTTTGTAGTATATTAGCATGAGATGAAGAGCAGCGCGTCTGATGCAAAGGGAGCCCTGAGAAGGCTGGACCACAGACACTATGAACTTGTTTGTTGCTGTACACCAAAGGCCATCAAAATGAGCTAACCAGTCTCAGCTCAGGTGAACTACTACGACAGGCAACTCCATAGAAACCCAACAAATTCACTAACAATCACGGTGCATGAATCTAACAGCCATATCTCACAGGTATCGAGCAAAGTTTGGGAAAAGCTTGGTGTGCTGGTGTGTGAAAGTATGACAAGCTGCTTTCATCAGCTCTCATTTTCAAGTGAGGAGGACTCTCAACAGACAGAAAACCCTCAAATCCTCTGGTCAAACCTCATTGACACTTCAGCCTTCATACTCAATTATTTATAATTGATTAATCTAACATAGCTAATCAGCATAAAACTTTGGCCGTCACCATTACACACTAGTGGATTAGGAGAATGTTTAACATCAGATAGCCCCTTTAAAAGATTTTTAAAAGTGTGTAGATGGCAGCATCTATCTATCTATCTATCTATCTATCTATCTATCTAAATAATAGACTACTCACCTCAAGAAGTGTTGGTGACTTCAAATACAGGTGTAGATTTCGTCCCATGGCTAAAAACCAAAATACTTTTCGTTCCTATTAGAATATTTCCTTCAGAATAAAAATGGCCTATTTTTTAATCCTAAAATCGTATTTCGTCTTCCAAAACAGAGAGACAACTTTGAGGCTAAAATAAATAAATAAATGAAATTAACCAATGAACACGCTCAAAATAAAGTTTTGTGTCTTAAAAAACTTGTCAAAGACTTGTATTTCTTCCATGCCCGGAAGGCGGCTGTAAATGAGAGCTGCACCGTGATGAAGGATTTCCTGGACCCGGAGCGTCCACTGAGCGGCGCCGCAGCCCGCAACTTCCGCAGAGAGGCTGCATCCATCCAGGCAGAGCCAGCCTGGTTGGTGCTTCCTCTCTGCGACACACGCTGCAGGCCAAACCGCTCCCTCACTCTCTCCGTGTTGGGTTACAGTGACAAGGGCCCTGTCTGAACCACGACTTTTAGAAAGATAATATTACAGGTAGGTGCAAGCCACGGACCGTGTCAATATCGATAGACAAATTAAGCATTGAAAAACAAGACCGTGACCCAGAAATTCTCGCTTTAATCGGGTCACCGTGCTCGTTTTCAGCGCTGAGTGATAATGGCACCTCTCACTGTCCTTAGCATTTGAAGTCCCCTTACCGAAACCTGTAGCTTTTGGGGCAGTGAAAATTGTCCAGCTGGACGCCTTGTATTTTCCCCTATTGGTGCCTTTGTGTGTGTTTTGAGCCTTGTACACCTGCCTGCTGATAGCTTTCAACGTGTTTTTTTCATCTAGTTGAAGGTCAGTTCTCTAATGAGCTGCTGTGTGGATTTGTAGCAGCAGAGCAATAACCGAGGATGGAGCTTGTTTAATGTGTATCAGTAATTCAATTGTAAAGTAAGTTAAAATAATAAATAAATAAAAAAGGAAATTTAAGAAAAAGAAAGAAAACATTTTTTCCCCTTATATTCATCTACCCTTTATTCATTTCTGTATCAGCCCCACTTTATTAGGACTACCATCTTCAACACAGCGCCCCAGTAAGAGCACATTTCTCTGACCCTTTTGTTAGCCGTGCCATATGCTGGAGGACTGTACTGATTTAACTTGAGTGAAAATCTTCAGTAAAAAAGGGTAAATCTCTTACACTTGCTGGGGTTTCTTTATGTTTCACATGGGAAGCCAGGGAAGTCCAAGCAGGCTTGTCGGGTGTCCAAAGAAATGCCGAGATGCAAGCTGAAATTTCTCTGAAATAGGCCGAACAGAGAGCGTTTTGCTCCTACAGGGTTTTTGTTCAGGGTTCCACAGAGAAAGCCCAATGCAAAGTGGGCCTACAGCCAACTGGGATGGATTCTGGGGTGGAACCTAAACAGATGGGAAATAGTATAAAGGTGAACACGAGGTCAATCTGAGCTTCAGTGATAAAGCTTTGGGCACTGCTCATAGCACTGTTTTAAAAGTTGACTTAAGAAAACAGATTGTGTGGTCAGAATAAACTCTTAAGACCATATTGGAGCATTTTTTACAGGCTTCTTTTGTCTAGATTGCCACAGGCGGAAGCAGCAGACACCAAATGGTCAAAAAATTGTTATCATTATGTTTGTCTGGAAATCAGCAGAATGGGGGTGTTGATTTCCAGCGGGTGGGTTTTTTCTTTGTCCCTTTTTTGGTTCTAACCCAGATTTTCATGTTTTACAGGACCACAGCTGATCCTTCTCCCAGTACACAATTGAGATGGAGGAGGTTAAAGCTCTCTGAACGCATGGGACCATATTGCAGGTAATTAATATGTCAGCTCAATGATGAACTTGGTCAATACATCTATCACCACACTTACTTGTAACTGGAGTAGCTCGTGGGATGCAGAGAGCGCAGACTGGGAGTACATTTGTCCATTAGTAAACACTTCATAGTGTGTGTTGTGATTGGGGAGGTAGCGGGGCTCCTCTTCGTCCAGTTGCAGTCATTTTCGCCCGTCACCTCCTCATTGCTGTAAAAACACTTGCTGTGGTTTGGTAGATTAACAGAGAGCCCCCTAATGGAGTAATTACACCGAGCCAAACATCTATTTTTCACCTGTGCTCTGCCATTATTCTCTGTCCCCTATCCACTCCATTGGAAGTCACTTACTCTCCTTACAATGAGTTATCATTGACTGCCATTTAGACGTTCTGGAGCAATTTGTCTTACTGAGGCCACGCGCTGGCCTCATTGCAAAGAACAATCATTCTCCCTCCAATATATAAAACATTCATGGGGAAAAGGAAGAGAAAATGCCTCACAAACAGATAGTGGAGAGCAGCTAATAGATACTATAAAGGTGACAGACAAGGAAAATAATGTAGGAGATTACTGGAGCGGGAACAAGCCTGCACAACCAGTACAAAGCTTCAGGGACTGAACTGCTGGAGGAAAAAAAATCCTTCACCAGACAAATGTGTTAAATGGGTAGTATGGCAGCTACTGCTGGTGGTAATTGCTGTTGCTGCAAACAAAGTATGAGTCTCAATTTAAAATCTTGATCATATTCTTTAATCTGCAATTGTAAATTATTAGATTATCTGCCTTTTTATTGACTTTTTTTTGTTTTAGAAGTGTTATTCCTCTATTCTTTTTAACAACAAACATTTTAAGTTGGTTCTTCTCTCACTGTATGATTGCTATTGATTGACCAAGAGCCCTTGATATTCACCCTTCGCTTTTCATGCTTTGGATCTTTTTCTCCTGTGAAGAATGTTAAGAGAAGATCTTTTTCTTGCCCTGGCTTTTGGGTCATTTTGTGCAGTTGCAGTCTGATTTATTTGCCCAATTAAAATGAATAGTATGGAAGATTTTTAAAATGCACTTTTAAAGGATACAAACTATGGCAATCTTGAGGAAAAAATGCAGATTTGTGAGTGTAAATCTATTGTTTTCTTAGCACTGTGTTGTCCAAAGAGAGACAATAGTGTATAATATTATATTGTATACTGAATATTATTACTAATGATAGATTACAGCTATGAGTCTGTTTGACACAGGGCTCCTAAAGTAAGCATTCACTGTAGATCTTTTGTACTTTATTGCCCAGTCAAACACACCTTGGAAAGGGTTAATCACAATCTTAACTGAGTGTTTGTTAGATTAGTCTCCCTCTCCGCTTAACACAATGACAAATAACCATTATTCTTTTTCTTGCACTGATAATCAGGACAACTTAAACATTTCTTACCAGCCCAAGTGAAACCATTAATCCTCAGTGATACTGCTGATAAGTGGTGACTTTGGAGTAATGGCCCTGTCACCTTAAAAAAAAGACCAAAATTTGAACAATTAAAACAAGGTGTCCATTGTATTTTGTGTTTCCAATCTCTTTGTGTCATCAGTAGGGATCTACTGGCGTTGTTGAACCATAGAATGAAATTAGCCTTTTTTTATGATAAACACTGAAGGAAACAGCATCCATATTCAAAATAATCACTTTGACAACTTAAAAGCTGTAAAAGAAGTGCCTCGGTCCTAAAAAAGGAGAAAAAAAAATCATTTTAGATGTTATATTTTTGTGCTTTTGTGAGCTTCTCTTGAAGGTCAGAGCAGAAAGGGGAACAAAGAAGATTTTCATGCAGGATGTGATAAAAGATGTCCAAGGCTACAACACATGGACCTGACATGGGTCAGTAGCTACAAATTGGATGTGCAGCTATTTAGTGAAAGAGTTAGTTCAAAAAAATAATTAATTAATAATAATAAAAAAGGTAAATAGCCCTTTTTATGTAATTTTCAGTGATAGTTTGTGTATTCAGCGAAATGGGACTTCCTGCTTGATAACAAAAACAAGTCGTGTTTATTATGGGCTCAAGGGAGTTGAGCTTAAGTTATGAAGACCTAAGGGCTAATGTAGAGTTCGATTGGTGGATTGATGGCTTATGAAAAATTTGGTAGGTTTTGACCCCGGTTCTATAAAAGCGGATAATATTTTTTTTTGCATTTTGCATCTTTTCCTCCATGAAACATAATGTTAAGTTTCGTGCTTGTGTGGCTTGCTGCCTTCAGTCAAAGCCACAGCCAGACTTTACATGTACAGCTAGATGGATGTATAGGTGGATACTGATAAGTGATGCAGTTTGCAGTCGCTCACCATGAAGACTTTTGTCTTATACCAACTTAAATGTAAGACGGTATAAGCAGGAGACAAAAAGACGTCATATATCCCTTGATACTTTGTTGTTGATAGCTGTCTTATCACAAGCTAACTGTTGGTACCATGAGGAAATATTTAAAGACCTCATGTGGGCTAATTGAAAATCTTTCATTTTAATAGGTTCCATATTTCATCTTCGCTGTCTCCAGCACTAATCAGTTGTTGATGTAACTGCACAAAGGTTTTACTCTATAACTGACAGGATGATAACAAACATGCATAATTGAGATGTTGATTGATTATAATTTCAGATTATTTGCCCGTTTTCATTTAATCACTTCATGTGTCTTGACATCAAGGAAGAAATTGTGTTTTAATGAAACCAGTCAGGCTGTTTTGTTGATCTGGTATTTACCTCTTTGTAAATGTTCAGGTTGTTCTGAACTTAAAACCACAATTATTAGAATAAGATAAAAACAAGCTCATAGGAAGGGAAATGTGTTCAAGTTGAAGTTAAAGAAAATCGTATTCTTGTGTTGCATCAAGCACAGTCACCAAAAATAGGATGCACATAGTGAGTCAAAGTGCCTAATTAGCGAGGTGAATGTTTTTAGAGTAAGCAGGTAACATACTCCAAACAGATGGTGCGGAAAAATGCTTGTAACACCTTTTTTAGACTAAAAGTTAAAAATGGGAGTAAACCTTTCACAGAAGTTGACTAATAATTCAAATGCCTGAATAACCAAAGCACTTGCTGGGCATTCAGAGTGTCTTTGCTGTTAAAGATTTAAGGGGCTGCTGCTCATATAGGGCAACATGACAGAAGAAAAATAAGTTTGGTTCAGGAACATCAGCGTTGGCGTCTATTCCTGCTGACATTATCTGGCTCCAACAACAGAACCAGTTTTAAGACCTACCCCAAATTGTCCTGGATGTTGGCCATTGTTTGGAATATGTAGTATGGTAGTATTTTGTTTTATAGTTTTGTCTGTCTACGATACCATATCATTATTTTTATCTTTTATTGAACATATAGTCTTTGGTCCTACATGCCAAACCCACCTCTCCTTGGCATCAATGCTGTCCAAGCCACTTAAAACTCTATGGCTGTAGCTCTGTTTGGATCAAAGGGGGTTCAGGGGCCAAAGTTTCAAATCCCCCAAAGCCCATTTTGGCTACTCTTTGTTTAGCCCATTGGCATTCTGACCCCATGCTTCTCGGACTTTGAACTCAAAGCTTGGAAAAGCCGTATCGCTTCTTTAAACACATTATCAGTTGGCTAGGTTTTAAGAATATCACTAATCATCTTAAGGTTTTAGTGCAGTGTGGCAGCATCGCTCAAGCCTGGGGCCCATTTACGGACATAGGCACTAGTTTTCCCTCTAATACATGATAAACCATAGCAGCAAGTGTTTGTAAGTATATGCTCCACATACTAGAGGAGCTTACATATTCTACAAACTGCTGCAATAATTTACCAAAAAATGGAACTGTTTGGACAAATTAGTTTAATTCACTCCTTGATATTGGAGACCTAACATGCTGAGTGCACTTTGTGTAACACCTAACACTTGGGAGATGAGACACACTCACAGCAGCTTCCTCTGTACAACATTTTATCATTATATCAGTTTTTATTACATCTCATTTTAGCTCTAATATCTTACTTGGCTCTGTGTGTCAGGCTGAGATTTTTCTCACACATCAGAGAACGTGTCTTGAAGTTAAATGTTAACTGTTAATTCGACAGTTTAACAAATAGTGAATGCATTACTGTCAAGAGACTGGCATGGATGTAATGCACACTCTACAAAAACAACCCATGGCAGTGGTTTAAATGGTTGGAAAGACGCTCTACTGTTTATTTTTACGTATAAAAAAATGTATGAAAAAAAAGATTTATCACGCTGAGATAAAAACCTGGTCAGTCAGACAATTTCTGAACATTTTGGTCTGAAAAATTGTGCACGTACATGTAAAGATGTTGTCTTTATCTTACTGTGCTCTGTGCCAGCAGTGCAACATGTTTTCCATTCTCCTGTTTGATACATAATTTAAACTCCTGGTATTCCTGGTGACGAAAAACAGTCTTCACAACACATATGATGATCTCTTTGTGCCTGCTTGTTCCCCTCAGCTCCTCTCACACCTCTTGCAGCTCATCAGACCTCGTACTTATTATTTGGCACCTCAAATCACATTGTCTTTATCTGGAAATATTTCAGCTGCATTTCTGCCACTCTAAAGGAAGATGAAAATAAAGGAAAAGAAGGCAAAAACACACCTTGTTGTGTGAATCCTGGAGAAGGCCTTGAACCCTGCCATTCATCCCTTTCACTTCATCAGCTGAGTCTAATTGCCAGAGAGGACAGGATACCCAGGGCCCAATTGTTCCTTATCCTCTTTGGAGCCTCTGAGGCATGAAAAGCGAAAGGCCTGCTTTTGATCTTTTTTTTTTTGTTAGTTTTTTTTTTTCTGTCATCCCCCTACTATCCTTTCCCTTAGTGAGACACTCCTTTCACACTGTGCCCCCTTCTTCAACCACCCAAAATAATTATCAAGCTCTGCTTCATCAAATAATGGTAGATATTGGGGGTCATGATGGGAAGGGCCAGGGGTCTGCAGGGGTGGCCTTCGGACTTGGTGGAGCTCCCAACTCGTCTTAAAGGCATGCTCCTTAGCTGCAGCTACCTTTTTATACCTTGACCCCGGTTTTCGTTTGTCTGTCCTAATGAGACCCTTTCATGCAGCCATTGCAATGGGGGTCTCGCAATGGCAGGGTTGTGAGGCCAAAGTACAATGAGGCACAGGGCTGTGTTCAGACAAGGGCGCATCTGTGCTATCTTATTAAGCCTTGGAAAAGAGCTCATGCGTCTCAACGTCCCATAGGCACTGAGAGCAGATCTATTGACACCTACTTGTCCTCTGTGGTCAACACCTTTGAGTGAGTGGCCGGCACACCCAAGTTCTTGTTAGAAGTATTTCTTGGCAGGGTATTTAGTGAGCTAGAGTGCTTAACCCACTTTGGGTGGCCATGTAGCGCGAGGATAAAGAATGCAATGTAATGAAAAATTCCTTGGAACTAGAAAAATGGTGAGGGATGTCAAGACTAGTTTGGCAAAAGCAAACAGTTTTATGTTAAATAAAGACCACCTTAGTCTTTCTGATGCTCCTTCTGCACATGATTTTCAGATTGAAAAACACTCTTGAGCTGTTAAATCAATTTGATTCCGTTGCCCCTACTACGTTTGGCAGTTATTCAGAAACTGGTCAGAATTTGAAAAATTAAACTGCCGGTTAAGATCTTGACATTTCCGAAAAAAGGATTACTTTAAAAGAAGAAATGAGGCTAAAAATAGCCAACCTGACCACCTTTTAATGTACAATAAACTAAAGGGACAGCGTGATATACTATAAGTCGAACAAAATGACAAACAAAAACACAAGTAGGCAAACAAAAACCTTTAAGCAATCATGTTAAGCACGCCTAACATCTGAGCACTGTGCGAGAACAAAGCAGGGCTCCTGTCAGCACATCGATCTGCTCCTGAAGGCACACACATCCATAGCTCTCTGATTGCTCCCTGCCTCTTGCGCCTCTCTCCCCCGCGCCTCTAACTCTCTCTGCTCCGGCTCCTTTCTGAGAATGTGCTTATCGATCTGGCCTACTTCGCTGAAGTTAACTCAGTGATAAAACCTGACCAAGGGCTTCCAATGGCCTGAAAGAGTTGGGAGAGCTGTCGAGAAGACATGATGATAAGAGAAATAATGCTGGCTGGAGTCATCACATGAAGTTAGAAGAGGATCTGCATAAATGTGACAACACCAGTTAAGACTTTTTTTGAAATGTAACCTGTTATAGTGTAATGATCAGTTTGATTCACAATATCTCACAGCTGTTCGAGCTCTGATCACACTCATAATGTGTGAGGTTGTGAAAAGCAACCTGATTATGAAAGATTGATTTGAACATGAATTAAATAACTTTAAAAAAGCACTTTTATGTTTTTTAGAAGATACAGTAAATATTTGCACACCCAACCAGTTTTTTTGTCTTCTCACTTGCTGTTTATTAAAAATGGCTGCACCTGTAACAAATTTTATTTACAGGAACAGATTTAGTTATAAACACTCACATCCTTTTATTTTAGTTAGGATATGTTTGACTAAAAAGCTCCTGCTGTATCTCTGACACGTTTTGGACATTTATTTTTGCTCTTCAGATGTTAAAGGCATCCTCATAACGCAGGGCTTTAATTTAATAAAGAGTAGGCTGAATAGACAGGGAATGACAGGGATGCACAAAGCAGTGTCGGTCTTTTCATTCATGTGTGATTGGAGTTGAGTCAGTCAAAGTAGACATGAGGCGCTATGTCTGCTGCACTAAATTTAAATGACCAAAATAATCACACACAGTGATTGCAGTAGGGGTGGGAGAAAAAATCGATATAGCATAGTATCGCCATATTTTGTCTGGTGATATATCGTATCGTCTTAGTTAACAAGTATCGATTTTTTTTTTACTAATTGCTAATATGAAGTCAAATCTATGATAATGGAAAAATAAAATCAACTGTTTGTCCAGTGAGGTTGGCAGAGGTGACATCATAGAGCAGGAGAAAGTTGGTACAACAAATATATATATAAGGTTTGCAAGATGTGCAACAAATAAAATACTGGACCCTATTAGAAAAACAGAAAGGGAAGCCAAATGCTAAATTAGCTAAACAGTTGAAAAAACTATATAAATCGCGATATATTGTATCGCAATACTCACTGTATTGCAAAATGTTAAAAATAACGATGATATCGTATCGAGGCCCAAGTATCGTGATAATATCATATCTTGGAGTCACTGGTGATTCCCACCTCTAGATTGCAGTATCACACTGGGAAAAAAAGTTGTTTTAGACTAAGTTGTTGCATTCATTTGAATGGGAACCCTAAATGTAAAAGAAGTTTTATTTGGCTATAAGCTGGACAGACTTAAAGGAAAATACTCGATTGTCTTCAGCTCTGTACTTCAGAACAAGTCATTGTTGTTGAACTGTTGTACAGCGGATTGCACATCTCCAATTATCAACTGCTATTTGTGATTTTTAGCGCACAAAGACATCAAAATGTCTGTGTGTTTGTAATAAAAAGTGACTCATGTTTTGTTTGTCACTGTGTGTAATTGTGTCTCCAGAGTGTGATTACATTGTGTGTCGGTTTGTGTATATTTTTTGCAAGTGTGTTGTGCTGTCATGGTTGTAACATTCCATGTGGGAGGGTCTGTTGATAAGTAAGCCATCTGTAGTGTTCTGCCGAGCGACATGTTGTAGAGCGAGATTTCAGAGTGTGGAGAGACTTGACTTGACAAATCTTGGCACATAATGAGACAGAAGGGAGTAAAGGCAGAAGTCTGTCCAGAGATAAACAATTAGATTTGTCCCTGAGGTAAAGGCCAGGCAATGCAAGGACTCTCAGACTAACAAAATCAATATGGCTTCCAGTAAGAACACTCAGGGGGAAGAGTGATGAAGAGGTTAACATTCATTTCTCAGATTAGGACACATGTACACAATGAGCAACAATAATGCTTTAAAAATCAATATGATCATGAAGGCTGCTTGTCAGTAGTGCGTACATTTGAAAGTATGCATCTGATATTCATCTATCTGTCAAATGTCATCGGTCTAATGAGAGATGATAACATAGATCAACAGGGAAGCTGAACTGAGCCAGTTTTCTTCAGCAGCCAATTGTGAGAGGATCTTTGAGGAGACAGCGTTTGGGAATGATACTTTCACACCCACAGATAAAACCATAATGGAGCACGAGCCACAGACAGAGTGGGCAGTCCCTTTGCGTTGCATCCCCTCTGCCCGGACTTGAAGGTCTAATCTAACATCTCACCACTGTTCCCAGCAGGCCTCACAGGGGCAGCACTGCCAGGGCGAAGAGGGTAAGACTGTTGGCTGTATCGCTCCTGTACAAGCTTCAAAGTAGACAACAAAAAAAGAGAGAGAGGATGAATGGTTTTTGGGTTGAAGTGGGGGCGATCACGACTGCTGTTAGGAAGGGAGGTCTCCTTAGAGACGCTAAGTCGCTGACCATAAAGGTGCGAGTCTGAGCCATGGCCAGCCTGTCGCTTCATCTCCATGGAGACAGCGGCTTGGCACCCCAGTGGGCTTGTCTCTGCTGTGGCCCTGAGCAGCAAGAGCACTTGGGGATGTGGCCTGAGCATCACCTGGGCTCCTAGGGAACCAGGAGGCACTGTTCTGTTGACCCTCGACAACCTGCCAGTCTGTCATCGGGGCTTGGGAAATAACACAAGAAAAATCAGCTGGGGATTCTAGTGGAGACATTGTTTACGGGACCATTGTATCTTTGGAGGAGGCTCTTTGTTCAGTGGGAATAAACTATAAAGAAAGATGTACTTTTCACAACATTTCACTTGATGTTCAAAAATTCTCTTTATCACCCCTCAAGTCAAAATAATACCAGACTTTCTTAGACTGCACTGTACTTTTGTACTTTGTAATTTTCTGATTGGTTCGCCAAAGAAAAACATCTGGCAGTGGAGGTAAAGGGTACAAGTAAATTTACATAATTAGTCTGCAGTATTATCATACAGATTGTTGTATTTCCAACTCAGATTTTTCTCTGCAAGTGATAAAACAATGAAATCACTGTTTGGAAATGGCCCACCTCACCACCTCAGTCAATTTTATGGTAAAAAAAAAAAAGTTCTTTATTTAAAACTGTTGCACCTGCTTTTGTACCACAACTAATCATGAAAGTGCAAAAAGTACTCTAATGAATATAAAAAATGATTTGCTTTGAACTAATAATTATTTTCATACATTTTTGATGGTTAAATGTGTCGGTTGTTTCTTTATTTTCTTTATGAAAAGTTCTTCAAATAAAAAGAGAGAAATAAACATCTAAAACCACAGTTGTCATCTTTAGATTTCCTGTTTTTCGATGAACTAACCCAGGCTGGGTAATAATGAAGTGAAGATTATATTGAACCACAGGAAAAGAATGTGATCCTTACATGTTATATGGCTAATTTTTGTAATGAAAACGCTGAATCAATCATCACAACGGAGGGAAAAAAACACGCAACGTAAAGATGCACTCCGTCCTCTAATGTTCAGAGATGTGGACTCCAAAGTAATAAAAAAAATTCAACATGATTAGATATACAATCTGGAACATCAGAGTAATTCCTGTATAATTGTATAGACTATTGTTCGCATCACTGTGATAAATTATTGCCAAATGGGATCTCAAATCTTCCGTATTGGAGTGTAAAGCAGCCTCATCCAAACCGTTCCCTGGAGACACTTGTGTTGCTTTATCTGACAAACCAATACAGGAGATTCTGTGGAAAAATCTGTGCTTTCTTTCTTTCAGCCAAAAAAGAAGGGGGGATTTTGAATGGAGTGGTGATTCTTTATGCAGAGCCGAGACGCGACACCTTCCAGACGGTGAGAGATGGCGAGCCCTAATAATACTGAGCTGTACAATGGTTCTGACAGGCGAGCAATAAAGCAATCAGGGTCCCAGGCATTCCAAATCTCTTTACCGCCCACCCTCTAACAGACTGGGAGATGGGCGGCTGACCTGTGAGCTGTCAATCATGGGGGATACCTGCTGGAGCCTGATCAGGGAGAGCTGAGGGCACCAGTCCATCAGATCTGTTTTCACACTCCAGACACTAACATTGCAAGCATAACCACAGACACAAAAAGCCCCTCCGCCTTGCTCTTAATTAGGAGATGTGTGTGTTTTTTTTCCTCTTTTTAGGGGGGAAGGGGGGACTTGTTTGGTTTAAATGGGGATGGGAGTGTCTTAGATATAGGGGGGATAGTAAGTGGAATCCCAGTGAGACAGAGAATAACCTTTTCCCTTGATTTGGGAATCAGGCATTGATCTGTCACGCTGTTTTGTACAAGCAAGAGCTCTTTCAGCATTGCCTCTCAGTGTGTATTGCTTCTCAGGGTGTGTGCTTACGCGATACATGTGTGGGATGGGTGGTAGGATTGGGGGGTGGGGGGGGTTGAAGCTTGTTCATTAGCTGTCTGTAGCCCATTCCAGCAAATAGATCACCATAATACTGTGGTTAGTTAATGGCTTTCTGGTGTTTCCTCTAGAGTCTTCCTGTCTGAGGGCTGACTGCTAAAACTCCTCCACTGGTTTCTCCTCCTTCTCCAAGTGGGGAGTCGTGTGTTCTGCTGCCTAACTCACACAATTGGCTTCAGCCAGCAGCCAAGTCTGTGAGCAGTCTGGCCACATGGATTCACATTAGAGAAGTAAAAGCAACATCACAAATAACATGCTGATCTGACATTCTGTCTCACCGATGATGACTGGAATCATATTGGTGCTTCACAGTCCCTAGTTTGTGACAGGAAGCGTTTTCCAAATAGGGAGCTGTATTTCTGTGGCATTTGTGGTATTGGTTATGATATTTACCCACTCTAAGTAGATCATTAATTATTCTTCATACTAGAGATATCACAAAATACAATAAATATGCATTTTGGTGCACTAAAGCATCAAACACTGTAGACAGTGCTTAAGATATTTGTCTGAAAAATGTTTAAAAATCTATAAAACTTTAACCCAGGACTGTTAATCGCGGTTGAATGACATTAATTTTACTGTTAAAAGTCAGTCAGGTACTATACAATATTGCTCAGGGCAAACTTGCTGTAGGGTGGATACAAAGTGACTAATTTCCCAGCAAATTTAAGTGGCAATTTAAAATTTGACCAACCAGACAGAGAGAATCACCAGCCAGGCCTTCACGCCTCCTAACATTAAAGCTGATCATCTAGAAATAAAACTGGGAGATGAAATGGCGATAGCAAGACTACAGGTCTCTCAAAGAGGCTCTCCAGACCATATAGATCCATAGTTGGCTCAACCTTTTAAATAACTTAAAGTAACTACATCATATAACTATAACTATATGATTGCTTTTAGTGGGCAGGGCTTAACCAGAGGCTTTAAAACTTCACTTAAAACAGTATTTGCCGGCAAGTAATTTTAAGCTTTTTTTTATTAGCAGTGAAAGATGACACGAGTGCGTCTGACTATGTGAGGTCAATCACCTTCTGTCACCGAGAGTGTAAAAAAATGAAATAAATTATCACCAACCAGTAAAATCAGACTGACCTTCATTCAGTGAATGAATTTTCAGACATGACTGCCAAAGGTGTGGTGGCCCAGGCTGGAAATTTACTCTGCCCTTGTAGAAAACAGGGTGTGTGTGTAAAAATAAGCCAAAATTTATACTTGATGACCATGGCAATGGCACAAACATTTTTCTCCAGTTGGTTTTGCGAACAAAGCTAACGTGCTTTAACAGTTAAGAGAGAAATTCTCTATTCCTCTTAATGCCTTTCCAATTTGTGATCTGAGGATGAGGTTCATGAAGAATATACATTCATCTATCCAACAGTAGTTCTTCATTTTGTAGATAATGCCACAGCTTCTTTTATTCTGGCCCATAACACTGAAAGACAGTATTTTGGGAGTATCCCATGGTGGCGATAAATACTTGCCTTCAGTTTTACTCTTTTTTTTCTTTAAAAGGTCTTTGAGCAAGGTCAAGCATCTTACAAGGCTAGAGAAACAAGGCATTAAAGTTCAGTCATTAGATAGAACAAAGACTGATGGTAGTACTGCAGTTTGGGTTTTATCTGGGACATTCACAGAGATCGCCACTGTCATAGTATAACTTCTGTAACAGTAGCACACAACTTAGCTACAAGCCTTTAAAAGCACCAAGAGTAAATCTCCAGATGGAGGATGGATTCATTTCTCTTTTGGTTTACAATAAACCAAAGAAGCATTTCTTTGTTAGTTTCTTTAAATTGATTTTTGGATGAATTTGTAGTTTAGACCCCAGGGCTTCAAGACCTCCAGCACGGTCCCCGAAATCCGGCTCGTTATTTTATTTTTTCAATGTTGGAAAAAAAAAACACACACACAATAAAACCCCCTAGTTAGTTAGACCTGGATTTGACCGGTAGAGGGCAGCATTGCGCTCGGTGGCGTACAGCTTGCCAGAGAAGAAGAAGAAGGGGAAGAAGACGCGTCAGCGAGCGGGGAACGGCTAATTTGAAACGATTGAAGCCAGGTACTGCGATTTTGGAAGCGGGGGTGAAAAACAAGTGGCGTTGGGCTTGGGGCGGAGGAGGCTGAAAAAGATGGGAAGCCTCACGGTAGCTGGTGCCGAAAACTGAAAGAGCCAGGTGCTTATTTTTGTGTGCCATCCGCCTCAAAGCTTACATACGGCAGTTGTGGGAAAAAGTTTGGTAAAGATATTCACAGATTCGGACTTCCGGGATCGATAACTCTGAGGCGAAACGTTGTCTAAACACAAATGATGCCTCTTTCACATCTTAATAGCACAGACTACTAGCTACAAGAATCAAAAACAGTTTATTAATTTTACAAAATCAAGCCATTCTTCGAGCTGGATGAACAATACTCTCTTTGCACCGTCGGTCACTGGGCGAGTTTCCAGGGATCTTCAGCAAATTACGATACAAGAGCATGACGCTCCAAACAAAAAAATCAATAGCTCCACTGTTATACAGTACAGAGACTCCAAAATCACCACACACACACACCAAGGGACTCTTCAAAGTCATACTACAACAGCTGTTTTGGGAAAATGTATGACAATACATTAATCACAAAATGAGAGTCAACCAAATCACTGTGTGAGTGATCAGGTTTTCATGCACTTGCTTCCTGTAAGGCTCAAAAAAGCACTGTCGAGAAAAAATCCTGTTCTGATTTTATTTTTTTTTTCCATTCGGGAAATGTTTGAGACAAACCGCTCAATAAGTCACAATTAGAGAGGGATGCATTAGGAGAATTTACTGTATAAACCAGACTGAGAATGTTGTTTACTGAAGGACAGAGAAACACAGAGGTGATGTTGGTTTTGCTTTGAAAACACACTTTGGGGACTTTTTGTGTTTATGTTGTCAAGTCAGAGATTGTAGGTTTAAGGTTTAAAGGTATCAGGTGGTTGTAAAAGAAGGTTTCCAGAAGAAGACGACTGTGTTTGCTCCTTCAAAACAGTTAATGCATCACTACAGAAGCTATGGTAATAGTTTGTGTAATGTAAGAACGGAGTTTTCTGTTATTGTAAGCCCAGGGTGAGTGCATCTTAAGTTTTATTCTCAGGTGTTTTTGTCTGAAGAGAAAGTAGGGGGTAGAGAGTGAGGAGGCATGCAGCAAAGGGTCATGGCTGAGTGTCGACCAGCAACTGCTGCAGTGAGGACAGAAATCATCTGTGTAGTGTGGTGAGCACCTCTAAGCCAACCAACAGTGCATGTGTGACATATATTAGAGCTGGACATATCTCATACCATCACAGATTTTGGAATAAAATGTTCTCTAGATGGTGTTTTAATTTTGTCTTAAACTTTTCCACTTTCCCAACATAATGCAGGAAGATTTTCCTGTTGAAAGTGGCAAATATTAAAAAGGAAATTAACATTTTTAGCCACTATAAAGTAAATATGTGTGAATATGTCATATACAATGAAACTAACATTGATTTTTTTGTTTGTGAAAAAGTCATCTATTGTTCTGTCAGTTTTAAAGTCACTTAAAAATAATTAGAAATACAATCACTGCAGTTTTTAGTCATTATCCAATCTGTATCCAATTACATGGTCATAGATATATAGAGAGCTAAGGCTACTAAAGTTCTACCACACTTTCAAGCTGATTATTTTCACAGTACTTAATCTGTTTTTGTAATACATGCATGTGGCTTAATTGGGAAACTTGTTCATCAATCTAAACAATTAGAAAGATGATAGCATTGTGTTGTTAAGCACAGCAAGAGTTTACTTTTTCTGTACTAAAGTGCATAAATGATACTTGACGAGTGAAAAAGTGCATTTTTGAGACCCTGCTTTGGAAGTTTTTGTTTTTGAGTGAATCCATCAGTCCTCTTCCAGAGAGAGTCTGTGTAATTTTATCTGACAGTTCGTGTTTGTGGGGGGGTAGTCTGTGTCTGGGTGCTGTGACTCCTGCTGACAGGTTTTACAGTAAGAATTCAGAAATCTTCAAATCTTGGCCCCTCCCAAACTCCTGGGATCCCTGCTTTATGTGCCGAAAAGTAAACGGTCATTGATAAAAGATGAAAGAGTGTAGGTTTTAGGGTGGATTTGTGCATCTTTGACATTGAATGATGAGTTCTGCAGAAGTCTCTACTTAAACCGTCCCTCGGTGGTTCTCTGTAGACCCCCAGTCTCCAGTCCACAGAAAGCCTTGTCTCGTTTCTTCCAGATCTCTGATGTCATCTGTCACTGAGAACATGTATGTGATCTTCTGCAGCTGGAAGAAAAGCCCATGTGCGTTTTGCATCACCCCCAGTTATTTTTGGGTCGGTGAGAAGCAGTTTACAGGACCATTCACGATCTGAGATCACACTTCAGTCTGGTTCAGGCTGGATTTTTTTTCTACCTTTGTTCTGCAATGTCCTCAAAAACATGTCTGTTAAACTTTTATGTCATTCAGGGTTTAATGTTTTAACCTGATGTCAAAACTTTTTGGTTTGGTTACCTGCCTGTGCTTGTTGTGGTTTATTTGAAACATAATAAATGACATTTATAGTGATGGGATTCTACAGTTTTTATATGGTTTCTCATTTGTTCACAATCTGTCATTTAGAGCAGCATTTTTTATGACATTCCTGAGGTTACTAATGAGCTTCACACTTTTCAAACCAAAGCAACAGAGTTTCTCAATTTTAAATTTGAGCAACCCCTGGAATTTATGTGCTTTTACAGCTTTATGAAAATCAACAAATTGATCATTTTGGAGAGTTAAGGAGAAAAACTTGTCACACTGGCTGCCCTTTTTGCAAAGTCTGTGCTGAAGAATTTTGTTCGTTTCCCTGTTTCCCAACTTCAGCATGAACACATAGCAAAACAAGCAAACCTGAAAGCTGGCCCCGGTGACTTCTCTCCTTTTATTGGCAGCTGATACATAAACAAGTGCTTGTCCTGGCTGAAAAAAGCAACTGCTGAGGCGTTGCTGAACCTCCAGACCTTTGTGACCAGTGGCGTGTCATCCCTCACTTTGTCATGTTTAACTAAAACCAATCCCCATTTAAAGCAGCATCCATCAGTGTTAGTTGAGAACAATGACAGATTGCCTTTCTGCAGTACTCAAAGCATCTGGATCCTTTCTCTACTCCCCCTCTTTTATTTATGGTAAACAGCCTGAATAACAGCTGGGCAATGGGAATTTACAAGTTAATCAATTGTTTGTTAGAAGCCACAGCGATACTCTATACCCAACCATCTGCAAGTTAATGTTAATTTACCATGCTAATTTTCCCATAGGCAACAGCTTATCTATTGATTTCTTCAAGAGAGATTTTCCCATACTTAACATTATGATATACTTAATTTGGCAAGTGACACCTACATTAAATATGTGGGTGTGTTTTAGTATGTCCGTGGAAAATGAAGTGTGGAAAATGTGAACTCATTTATGGAATCAGTTTAAAAAGAAAAAAAACTAAAAAAAAAACTCTGTACCAAAACAAAATGTAGTGCCAAAGCAAGCAAAAAACAGAAACTCTCAGAGCAGTAACACAGTGGGATGTCCTGGAAGTCATATCTGGTTTCACTCACTGATGATGCATCTAGGTGATCGCTGTTTATCCTGCACACTCTGCTTCCTGTTTAAGTGGAGTTGCCTTTGTCTCTCCTTCCAGGTGTTTGTGCCTTTCGGCAGGGTCTTGGTCTTTTGTTCCCTCCTGCTCCCCCTCCGCACTGCAAGACGATGAGCCTCAGACACAGGTCAGTCACAAGTTTCCCTCTGCTAGCAGTCAGCAGTATATTGGCTTCTCCACAATGATGGCACGTTCACAAACGCTATCAACAGAGACAAATGTCGAAAGACAGTTTTTTGTGTCTAATTTAAGAGAAAATCCTTTTTGGAGGCGCGCTAAAATTGTTCTCACATTGTCAAGTATAAACAAAAGAACACACATACAAATGCAAAAATGTGAACAACATGGATATCTACTTCCCTTTGCTCATGACCCATTTACCTCAAGAAATAAGCAGAATTTGTTTAATAGGAAGGTAAAAATTAGAAAATAGAAAGCAGCACAATAAAATACTTCGAAACTAATAAATTCACTATGTAGCGGCAAAATATTTGCGATCATGTAAAAATTGAAAAAATATTTTCTTATTAATTCTTCTTTATTTGGCCGTGCTATCAGTCCTGAACTAGAGTTAGGATAGGGCACCATTTACAACAGTTCTGTGAGCACTGTTATTCACCTTTTCCTGTTTCCCGACTGCAGCACAGAAACCACACGCTACTTTATTTATAATCCAACCAACCTCAGAGTGTAACTCTTGCCCCGTACTCTTGCTCGCATCACACAGTGAGGTCACTTCCCTCTGCACCTCCACCACAGCTCTTGCATTCCAACATGGCTCTAGGACAGCAGCCCTGCAAAGCTCTGTACTCCTCAAATCACAAAGAGGCCCAGATCAGAGCCGAGCTGGACGCCAGCCAGGATCTGGGCCCTCACAGCCCAGGCAGCTGGGGGCAGCCTATAATAAGTGGGAGACAATGAGAACTAGCACACCTCCCACGCTTTGCATGTGGATGTTGATCCAGAATTGAAATTTAATGGTTTCATAGGTTTTCAGTAGACCACACTAATTATGAAAAGATAGGAAAACTAATGGTGGGTTTGGAGAGTACTCAAGTATACATTAAGGGAGGATACTTTTTTAACATAACAGTCTTTAAATTAAAGGAACAAGTTGTTCGCAATGAAAAAAAAAGAGATTTTTAAAAGTGCATTTTTTTCCCCTAAAATGCCCAAATACATACTTGGCTTCTGACACAGCTAAAACTTTAGAGATGACTATTTATTCCGTCATCTTTGGGCTAATGAATGTTTCAGGCTTACTTTATTTTGTAGATTTCAAAATCTGTTCACAGTTTCCTGCAAAAACCTTCCCAGCTGAACCATTTTTCACCCGTCATCAAAAACATGTATGTACATATATTTCTTCACGTGGGAAAGTCGACATATTAAAGGCCTTCTGTTTTAATGAATAATAATGAACAGTTCACAGTGATGTAGAAGGCGGTGGTGCTTTAGTGGTCCCTCATAGCCTCTTAAGCCTCTGGTGATAAATCTCACACAGGCTCACTCGTATAACTAAAACCCAAACCTCATTCAACTTCACATCCATCAGTATTTGGCTGAAAGCGATGACAAAGCACTTTCAATTACACCAGTAACTGACTCTGGAAACAGTTCATAGCAGGGTCCAGCTTTGAAGACCAGGGGAAAAACACAAGTGGGGGAGGGCAGGATGGCTGGTAGGGCATCTGTTTGACTCGCTCCCAAATAATAAAAAGGGTGGTGTGACTCAGTGACACAAGGGATGCCGCCAGCAACGCGAAACCAAGGACAATTCACCTATTTTGTGTGCTGTCACCCCTGGAGTCTGATTTATGGTCGGGACATCCTTCCTACGACCTGTTCGTCCATCAGCCCAGCACTATAAGGATACTCCTGTGATTAGAGGCTGAAGTATCAAAGCGTCCTTAGGCAGAGCCCTTGTCTAGCACCAGAGGGCCCTGCCAGGCTGAATGGGAGTGTGGCGGCGGGGAGGAAGAGCGTCGCAGCAGTAGAAGAGTGCTGTTCTTAACCCTGAGCACCAGAGGAGAGAAGAGCTTTTTGAGAATCCATCAACTGTAAATGCTTCGTTCTATAATGTTGCTGTTTTCTTTTCCATTTTTCATCCCAATTTGTAATTATATTACGTGGAGTGTGCGCTCTCTAAAAGTTAACACGGCGGTGTTTAATTGGAGTGATTTTACTCATAATTGCATGATCCTCTTTACCACTTTTGGCTTCCACTTTGTTTGAATAAGCAGGCTAATTTCAGCATCCGTACTCAAAATTAATCAGTATAGCATACTTAATACTGAAGTTCAATAATAAAAAAAAATGGAGGAAATGTAAATCTGTTTTGGTGAGAGTCTTAACCGTCAACAAAAAACAGCAAAACATCAAATGCAGCCGTAGATAAGTGATGATCATTTTTCTCTCTTTTAAAAAGCCTTTATTACATAAATAAAAACAGAGCCTGATCCTCCAGAGTGCCTGATCTTTTAAAGCAGCTCTGACTCCAACCCCCCTGATGAAAGGCCCACACTAACATCAGGAGTCCAGAGCCTTTACTCTCTAACTTCAGGCAATTATGACACAGAGGAGATCTTTGCCTTCTGCACTCAAAAAGAAGAAGAAAAAAGGCATGCCTTCTTTCCAAGCTTAGTTGTAAAAATAAGCTTGCTCTCCTCAATTGCAGTCACCCCGTGCCCTTTGCAATAGCAGCAAGGATGTATCGGAACAAGCCATGGGGCAAAACAAATCACTTGTGATTTACAGAATTATAAAGATTTTAATAGCTGCAATGTTTCTCTCTCAGATTGGTCTTTATTTCCAGGAGTCAAAGTTTCCTGGCTGCCCCAGGCTTTTTAAAAGCAGTAATTGGCCAACAGAGAGACGCAGGATCTCCCTGAGTGATTGAGTGTATTTGTTGCTATGAACTTGAGGGTATCACTCGAAAGATCACAAGTCCAGGTTGTGAGAGCCTGCAACTTATCAAGCACAATTCAGTTTGCAGCCGAGGCAGTCAGACTACTTTTCCATACAGTTTTGTTTAAAGTTTTAACCTTTTAGTGGAGCTCAATGTTTTTTATTTATTTTTTCTATTTTGCTGGTTAGTTATGTTTCCAAATAATTCAGCACAAACTGAGGGGCTGTGGTTTGTGAACTGAAGACAACCTGGAATTAATGCAGAATAATCACTGGGATGAAGGGCATGACTGTTATCTTGGCATCGAAGAGAACAATGCTGTTTTGAGATCTTAAATTGATTTTTTTTTAAATGCAAGAATAAATATTTTTTTTCACTTTGTTTTCAACTGGCAATGACTCAGCAAACCTCTTTTTAATATGAATACATCCTTTTGTATGTCAGGGCTGTAAAAGCAACAGTACCGCAGATGCTTTTCAGGACTCTGTGTGTGGGGGCTTAGTGTTAATGCTACAGCTGCACGAAATATTTTCAAATAACTACCATTCAGAAGTAAGAGGTCGTTAACATTCTTCACCAAGTTTTCTTTGTATTAAACTTTTATAATAAATTTTTAAAGTCAGGTATAACACTGTACAAAAATGTTAATATTACAAGCTTCTTCTCTTGACAGAAACTATGAGCCGTGTGCTAAAAATTCATGACATATATCCACATGTACATTTACATTTTTTCTTATATTTTAACCAACAAATGTGGCGTACAACATGTCTGTTTCTGAGCTCTAAATTTGACTTCTTATGCTCTCTTGCTGTAAAAAAACGCACTTCTTACCTGTTGGAAAAAAATACACTTGGCAATAGCTAAGCTATATTAAGAAAATCCACCAGGGAGGCATAATCGAGTTTGACTCTCTACTGGTGGTCTCCTTGTTAGTGTTGTGAGTGTCAGAACTGACAGTGCAGGTAGCTCAAATGCCACTTAAGGTTTTAGCTTCAGTGGCTTTTGGAAAGAAATGACCGTGACCTGTGCAGCTCGAGCCCACATCCCACACCCTTTCTGCCTGACAGCTGCTCAATGGCAAGTGTCTGCCAGCATGCCGAGGGGAACGCTGCCAAGCAGCCGGAGATGGAGATGATTACCACATCCCTGTCTCCCTCTCAGCCTGCTCGCTGAAAACTGATACCTACTAACAAACTGCTGTCAACATGTTAGCGAGGCACAGAGAGTGAGAGCACTAGGAAGTGCTGAGAGAGAAAAGGGAGAAAAAGAGATGTGTGGGTGAGTCAACGTGAGGAGTCCAAACAAGTTGGGATTAATGACATTGAAACAGGTTTTTTTTTCCCCGTTGTTTTCAGAGCTAACAGTCGTGTGGCACACTTGAAATATGCAATCAACGCTGTGAGAAAAAGTCTGGTGACACCTAAGTAGAGTGATGATGAAATGATGGATTTCAGACAGCGCAGTTGCAAGGTCACTAGTTTTCAGGCTACTGTAGCTTATCATGCAAAGTTATGTATATCAATGTTCAGGCATAAATACAGCTCCTTTTAAAAAAAAAAACTCTGCTCAAGTTTTACTTTTTATACTTTAACAATTATAATTTGTGCAAATTGAATGACACGCGTCATGAGTTTTTTCTTTCTAAGTTCTTACATGTTGAGGAAAAATGCAAATTACTGCGGACCTTTACTCCAGTCACTTAAAACTCAGACTTTCCTGCTGGGTAAAAAACAAATACAGCCCTTCCAGAGAAGTGTTATAAATGTCATTGTTTCTGAATAAACCCCCCCTACTGTGTCACTTTTTAGTGAAATAAAAGAAAAATCACAGCTGACATACATTTCTTTAATTGTTGCAGAGGGGGACAGGAAGCAGCATGCAGTAGCTTGAATTATGGGTAATTAGAATATCGCTGTGTTTAATTACAAAAGATTTTGATTGTCTGATTTTCAGCAGAAGGCCTTTTTTAACTACTTTTCTTAATACGCATTTGTTTTTGAAGATTGGAAATGACAATTATGATAATGTGCATCCCAGCATGAAATACTTTTCCAAGAGCAGAAAACAGGACGGATGTACTGCATGTGCAAGTTTTTTTTTTTTTTTAGGGAAACACTGATTAAAGAAAATGTAACTATCTCTTTCTTATTTTTACATTATTTGAAAATGAAGCTTTCTGAAAATTATTTGCTTCAGGTTTATGATACAGCTGTGTGAGAATATGCATCGTAAAAGATGTCACAATTCCGTTTTTGTGAAGCAATGTGAGCTGAAAATAGTCAGGTTACTATTCCATATTTCAAGTAAAGAATATCATAACATGCAGTCTGCTGAATTGAAAAATTGTCATGGTATATAAGAGAACAAAGTTTTTTTTTTTGTGAATCATGTCCACTGAGGAATTACGTCGTTTTTGGGGCTAAAGTTGATAAATGCCACCAAAAAATAAATAAAAAAATCAGGGGCAAAATAAAACCACCTGCAGTAATTCACTCTGGAACTTTGTTGAGGAAAAGAGAAGTATTTCTCTAAAAATCAATTTTTGAGAAGAGACAATGGAAACAAACCTAAGTGCTAGTTTGAACCAACCCCACAAGGCTTCCAGGGAAACCACCGAGCCTAAGAAGCACTTTATTAGCCAGCAGGAGGGAGGGGTCAGGAGGACCAGCCCTATCATTGATTGAGGTTGGAGGATGCATCCACAGCTGCACTTTCTCTAAATTTCTAAGAGTAAATATGCACCTTTGAAGTGGGGGGTGCCTAGGAGCACTCCTCTGCACAGATTGTGTGGGTTTCTGTGGGGAGCTGTAGTTACGGGAAAGATCAATGGACAGGGCATTAGGGGGAAGAGTACACTACACTGTCCAGCCCTCCAGCCTACAGAACAGCTCAGCAGCTCCTACATGGCCAGTATTATTGAGCTCCAGGCAGTTTAATTCTCCATGCTGTTTTCTCAGACTGATAAATTTCAACCTTTTCCGGCTGCAAAATATGTCAGAGGATAAAACGATGAAATATACTCTGAACTTTATATACAGTACAAGTAGAGTTTGCTTCACATTAGTCCTCTGGTACTTTTTTTTCTTAAAACATTTGCTTTTCTAGTTTTGATTCTTAGAAAATATCTACAGAAATACACTTGAAATGGTGTCTGTCTGTCTGAGCACTTTGTAGCTGGACTCAAACAGAGTCATCGTTGTGAGCTGCATTGTTCCTGTTTAAGGTAGAAGTGGTTATTTTAGGGGTTATTTCTGCTTAGATTTTTTATATGATTTTAATAATTTTTTTTCTAGTTTGAACATAAGCAGCTTGCAAAATTTTAACCTTTGTAAAATAAAAATCAAATAATATTTTTGACTGGAATCCACCTGCGTAATAACTAACTGGAAAACTTCTCTGTCTACCTCTTAAAGGCACGGAAAAACCCATATCCTGCTCCAGTGTGGGGTTGGATATATGTGCTTGTGGCAGGCTGTGAGTGCATTATACTGGTGCTAAACATACTGCCTCCATAATGTGGTTTGTAAAGACTATGGGAAAGGCTTTTGGGGTAGCCACCCGTCCATATGAGTCAGAGCTGCTGGCAGAAGATAGACAGTTTGTGAGTTAGGATATTTAAGCCTCAACCCTTTTATTACGTCTTAAGAGAGATGTCTCAAATTTAGTGTGTTTTTAATTACAAAAGGAAGTCAAAACAGCAGCAGAGTACAGGAAATAATGAAATTAGAGACTGAATTCACGTTATTGGCAGTTAGTACGAAGAGTCTTAATTGAATTAGTACATTACTGTAAATGCTGGGGCTGAGAGGACAGCGTGTATTATCTCAGCGGAGTGTCAGGGTGTCGTGCCTCCGCGCTCCCAGGTGTCGCTCGGGTTTGGCTCCACCGGCCTCGGAGATACAGCCAGAGAGGGTTAGCGTTTACAACCCCTGTCACACTCTACAAAACACTGTGTCACTCAAGCACAGCCTGTGTGGCAGCTCTGGCATTAATGGAGACGTTGACATCTTCCGACAGAGTGTTTATCTAATACTAATGCTAAGCAACCAGAGCCAGTCGTCGCCCCCACACGGAGCCATCCAACCTCGCCGCAGACCTCGCTGTCTGGAAATCACACCAGTTTTCCCATTCATCCCTCAAGACTTATAGAATTCATAACAATGGCTTTGCTGCTGCTCCATGTCATGTCTGCTTTTTATCATTCAGCCAGATATTTCTGAACCGCCATCCAACAGACAGCCTCACCGCTTCACAGGTGTTTTAAGACAAAGTTGAGTAAATGTATGACAAATTGCAGGAAGCATCACCTGTGTATGCTGGCGTGAATCACCAGCTCAGGACCTCCAACAAAAGTTGTTTACATTTTTCCGCGGCAGTGTTTTTCACTGACATTTTTTTCCCACTGCATTCCCTCACACCAACACACAGCCTGTCCTTTCGAGAGAGAGGTTCAAGCTTGTGTTGAGGGGAGAGATGTAAAAATCACCATCCAGTACAAAGACATCCGTAAAGACTACACTTCTTTGATTTTATTCTTACACAGCAAGTACGCAAATATTTTCTTACCGTGTTACATATTTGCAAATTGTCAAGAAATCTCGAGACACAAAATGGCAAAGAGTAGATGTTTGTGGTGAAACACAATGTGCAGTATAAAATGCGCAAAAGGCCATAAAAATTCCTATATATCCTATATGTATCAGAGACTTATGATGGGTTCATGAGTGTATGGAGCTATCTTTAGAGGATTGATTTCCCATACTGCCACGCAGTTGGCTGCATTTATATTCCATGCCTGTGGCTCTGTGACCCCTGGTTCTCCTTTGATGTGGCAGGCAGAAGCACAAACCAGGATGAGGCAGAGAGAGAGAAAGCAGAGGGAAAGCAAAAGGTGAAACAGTCTACAATGGGAGGAGGGGGTTAGAGATTTTTCTTGTGGTTGCAGGTTTCTTGGAGGGATGAGAGGACGGGTTGAGGGAGTGTTAAAAAAGACCAGTATGAGTTTGCAGCGCGCAGCAATGAAGCCATCATCTGACAGATCTGTGAGAGTTTGCACTGAGGGCGGGTTGGTGGTGGGTGGGCAGAAAGGAAACTAGGCTGAAGGAAAGGGATCGGGTGATGGTGGGGGGTTGGGAGAGGGCACGACGGTGGCGCGAGCTGATAGAGACGTCAGCGCCGCTTCAGTAATCTCACGACGGCTGGCCGCGGCAGGGGCCATGAAGGGGCCCACGAGAGCAGAGGCATGATAGAAGAGACCACCCCGACAACACTAGCAGGGGGCCGGGCAGTATGGACAAATCAAAGCGGGAAGAAGTAATTTTTGAGAAATTACAGAAATCTCCATGGAAATTAGCATGAAACACTTTCTAATCTCTTGCTTTTCACCGTGGACGATAGGGGTCAGTGCTTCAAGTTCTCCAGCCCTTGCTTTCTCTTTCTCTCTCGCCCCATCCCTAATTTCATTATTCCCTCTTGATTTTTTTCTCCCTCCTGCTTTTTTATGTACACTCATTTTACAGCCTGACACTCCAAAATACCCGCCTCCCCCCCCAGCTCATATTCTTCAACCATTCATTTGCTTGAACCCTTTTTCATTGACCACAATTAAACGTTTAGATTTCAAAGGCAAATCAAGGGAGAGCCAAGCCGTGCCCTCAGAGTGACACAGGATCAAGCTGTTGGGTGCTTTGGAGCCTCACATGGGGTGAATCCCTCAAGATTTGTCCTCTGCACCCTTCCTTTCGTGCTTGTGGTGTCTGTCAAAGCTCAGGACGCTGTTCAAATGAATGGGAGGAGTGCAGCACCCCTGCTTGTGACCATACGGTTATTGGTGATCAACTGCATTTACGGCAATACAATGACAGACTGAGCCTGAGCTCTTATCATTACAATTGCTGTCGATTCCAACAATACGGGATAAAAACCGACCACAGAAGATGCTTGTGAACAGCGTCACAGATATGGAAACCAGATTTGAATATTATTCTGAGTTTGCGTGAGTCTTTTCACTCTCAAGTTTTTAAATGATTTACATAAAGTCGCCGACACACACACGATTGAGCATGAGGAGGTTTCCAGCTGTCCCTATGCTGCCAGCCCTTTAAGATAGAAAATAACCAAGACCCATATTCTTTTGAAGCATAGAAGAAACATATTTCTATTTAGTTCATGAAAAACATGCAGCACAGTAAATTTGGAGATCAAATTTGAGTAAAAATAAAATTATTGTAATTACTTTTCATCATTTTATCAAGAAGAAAACGTGTCGATACGTGTTTATCTATCAAATATAATACAGCTGAAAAAGAGTAAGTTGTAAAAAAAATTTTATTCTGTGTCCAAGGCAACGGAAGTGTTGTCCTCTTTCATGGCCGTGGTCATATCATCAAACATTGTATTTAACAGAGCCGCTCCTGCCTCACTGAAGCACTTACACAGAGAGAGAGAGAGAGACAGAGAGAGAGAGACTTTGTTATTGTGCTACATGTAAATTGTTCCTCCTCATGTGTTTCAAGGCCGGACAGAATATTAAACTTTTTTAAGGTAAAATTAAAAGAGGTACATTACAATTCCAGTGTGAAAGAACACAGCTTGAATAACACAGCATACTCTCAAACCAAATAAAGGATGCAAGTGTGAGATTTGTCTCACAAATTCAGGATGAATGAGATATTTTGTTTTTTGATTAATTATTAGATGAATTGTACATTTAAAAAAAAATCCTTCACTTCACACCACCACACCATTGGGAGAAAAAAGGGAATGAGCTGCCAGAAAATTCAATCGAGGCATTTCCAAAAGAAAGCAGGGTCTCTTGAAGCCTCAGTGCAACAAGAGCCAATGAAAAAAATATATAAATTGGGTCATCTTTGGGCTCTGGTGTACTACAGTTTATAAAAACAACCATATTTAGTTTGTGAAGTAACAATGCATCTAAAGTTAACAAAACATTTTATTACATTTTCTGAAGTTTTCATGCATTTTCTCACTGAGTTTTTGAGACCTTGTCATAAAGAGAAAATACATTTGTTTCCGTCGTCATTCTGGCACATCCCCTGAACTTACGATGTCAAATCACTTCTACACGTGTCTGCCTTATTAAAAAAAAAAGATGCTCACAAATTCACTAATAGGTACAGTAGACAAGATAGAAATAATGGGCATTAAGGGTGGGAGTGAAATAGTGGCATTTGATAAGCATTACATTGTATGCTGATTCATTGGAAATAGCTATAGAGTGGTGCTAGTGGGGACTTAATTAGAGTACTTGCAGACTTGGCACTTTGCAGTGACAAGCTGTAGAAATGGGTGTAAGATATAGAAACCTTTGTAACCTCTAGTTAAACCTTCTCTTCCGTTCTAACAGTTTGCCCTCTAATTAAGCTCCAGAGTTGGGTTGTCTTGTTTCTTTTTTTTTTTTTCAAACCCTCCACATACAGCTTTGCTAATTGCAACCATAGAAAATGACAACGTTGTCCAAAATCGGCATGTATGGTTTTCTCAAACATGTCAACAAGAATTCCAGAAATGACCGTCTGTGAATGCACATTTGCTGAATGCACACGAAAGCTTACAGTTAAATTAAAATTATTATAAAAATAATTTATTATTTTTATTTTATTTCTTTAAGTAAGAATTTATGTTTTTTTATGAAGGTGATTTGAAGAGTGGGGATTAGATTCTATCAATGCAGAATAAGATGATAAAACAGCTCCTTAAATCCTGTCCACCATATTGAATTTCTACATGTTCAAGCCTTGAATGTAAATAAAAGATAATTTTTCTGATGCTGCATGTCATGTACTCTGAGGAAATATAACAAGGGTACAGGGATATAAAGCTTAGGACCTCATTTAACCTGGATGGTACAAACATTTGGCAGGGTCTGAGTGTACCTGCTCCTAGCTGCGGTTCTGCCAGTAATAGATAGATGGCACTGTATCCAAGGTAGAGCAAAGGGCCACAGACTTCTCTCTCCATCTCTCAGGGTCTTACTCTCATTATCCATCTGAAAATTAACCTGTCAATTTATCAATCAACACCATCTTGAGTTTTCTGCCTCCTGTTTAGCGACTAGCATTGCAACGCCAACGCACAGATAACCAGGAGGTATGTGTTTGTTAGTGTAGTGAATGAGTGCATTATCACTTAAATGACTACTATGAATCACAATTGCTGCCAGGAGGTTGATAAGAGGAAAATACACAGGCAATTTGATTTTTAAAGTATATATCTGTTTATGTATTCTTTTATGTGGGGAGAAAAAAAGGTCAAGGCTGGGCTCACTGTGTTTTGGCTTTGTAGCACACAAAAGTCCCATACAGTGTAAAGCCGGGCGGTTTTCTAAAGACTGAATTCTTCATCCCCACCTCACTGAAAAGTAGGAATTTTGGTGTAAATCACTATTGTGCTGATAACACAAAATACCATTTCTGCACAAAATCTAGTTTATTATGTCAGGAAAGACTTGAAGCAATAAAAAAATGAAAGCAGAAAAAAGGTGCACACAAAAAATCCTTTTTAAAAATAACTACAACACCAACAATATTATCATTGTTATTATTAATAGTAATAATATTATTATTGTAATGCTCCACAACTTTTTTAATTTGATTAATTTATGAACAGGAAAAAAAGGCGCATTATTGTTGTTGTAATTAGAGCCTCTGTGATCTTTAAGTTACCACTTATTAAATTTACAACTATGAGATTTTTATTTACACTCAGATTTTTAAAGGTATTTGTTTAACTTAAAGGCATAGTGCAGAATTCTTATTGTAAATACCAATATTATGGTTGAAATTTGTTTCAAAGTCATTGCACACACTATCTGATTCGTTTCTATCAATTCTGGAGTTAATTTTACATCTGCTCTCAAAAATATCTTAAAGACAAGCGGATTGAAATATGTGTTTGCACGCTCAGCATGCTACAGAGTTCTAATAAGCTCTGGGACATGTCTTTATCTCTAAATGGGTTCTAATGTGATAAGCTAAACTAGACCCTCAAAAATCCCTACCAAGTGCAGCCACGGGTGGGGGACCTCAATCGCTTCAGTTCAGTCTCCTCTTTTCTGGTATTTTCTTCTTCTCTGTGCAGGTTATTAGCAGCTACATGACTGGATTGCCCGAAAATGGAAGGGCGCAAACAAAACCAGATAGGGGTTGTGAATAGCAGGAGGGACTTCTCTTTTTCCAATTGTTGTTAATTGCAAACGGCCTTATTGTGTTCAGGGGTTGGAAAGGTGGGGGCGCTAGTGAGGAGAAATGGCGGAGAGTATTTTAGAGCGCTGACAAAAAAGACGAAAGTAAAAAGAACACAACATCTGGTAATTTGTTTCAGCAAGCTTAGCCTAATGATGTAAGCAGATTACTTTCCAACTGAGTAAGAAAGGGCCATTGGGGGCTCTTTTGTCTTTCTTTTTTTCTTTCTTCGTGCCCCTTTATAGGTCTTTCTCCCCATTAAGATCGAGACAGAAGCCACTGGCATATACACAGCAAGTTCATACTGGTGTCTCTCTCTCGGTGCTCCTCCACACTATGCGATAATTCACAGACTCAAGAGGTGGATTTTGATCAAATCAGAAAATTTCTGGGGAAACAGCAGGGTCTTATTTTGCTGGCTATTTTACAGCCTTTAAAAGGGGAACCACCCCGACAATCTGTGGCAGAATGTAAGCCCCTCAATGCTGTGGGTGTGGGTGCCCCTGGCCCGATTTGCCCCCTCTCCTCTGAGAGCAGAGATCAGTGGTATGCCCAGATTGAAAGGGAGGGCAGGGACCCGGTGTGATGAAGGACACTGGCTCCCTGTCAATGTGTGGAGGAGACTGGAGGATGAAACACACCATTAAGACCAATTTAGAGTGCTGCTCTAATTTTCAGCAGGACTGATCGATCCTGACAGGAGGGCATCGTACCGCCTGCCAGATCACTTAAACCACTGCCCCTTGTCTCACGTTGCTTAATGTCATGTCATTGGCTATCATTCCCCGTCGAACAGTGAGCTGCCGGGTTTTATTTCAATTACTACTTGTAGGATTACCTTTTATTTCTTACACATCAGTAATCAATGAGGATTTTGATAATAATGTCATAATGCGATCACAGTGCTGCATTCTGTCCTTTTTTCCCTCTTTTCTTAATCCAAAGTGAAATCCTCTGAGACCAGCTGTCCTGTTGGTTTATTGATTTTTTTCCCTTTGCTCTGTGAACATCGGACAGAAACTTCACAACCAAGGTACAGAAAAGAGACTATACCGTACTCAGGGGCTTATCCAGCAGACAGGTAGTTTACATGAAAATAACAACAACATATTACGATACAAATTATTTATAAAACTCTTTTTTTGTACATGAATGCTGCTCAGAGTGAGTCGCAGAATTAAACCAGACACATATCCTCAAACCTGACAAAATAAGAAAACTAGGAAAGCTCAAGCATTTTCAGCCAGTAAAAAAAAAACTGCATCAATGATAGAACATAAAAGAGATTAGACAACCTTGATAAAAACAACAACAAAAAAGAGATGCAAAAATCTCCTCAGTAATAACAGTCAAAGTGATATACCGAATGTTATGAAGATTAATGAAAAAAATCTGTCTGGTTGTGTAAAAATCCAGATGATGTTTGTTGTTGTTGTAGGTCCTACGGTAACACACACTCTGCGTTATTATTTCAGCTCTTCTTTCTGCCTGCACTGACATTTTATATGCCATCTATTTATTAGTTGGGATGTTCATTGCGGCAGCTCAGGTTAAGTATCTTGCTCAGTGTGTGACTGCAGATATTGAACCTGCAGCCCTCTTGTACCAAGTTCAGTTCCCTAACCACAACCAGTTTGCCCCTTTGAAGGATGAGGTCTCTGGCAGAGTGCTGCTATGTATACCACACAGACAGTGATCTATTCTGTGTCTCATATCATGTTGCTCCATGTCACTGACTGATGTTACCTGCATCCCCCCACGATGATTAGATCCATGACTGCGCCTACAGTTCCCTTATAAAATCACTTCCTTTCTTTTAACCCTCAAGACGCCAAGTCCTCCATCTGAGGGAGAGGGGCGAGCCAGGAACGGGTGAGGGAGGAAGAATGAGTGAAGTTATTTTAGAGGATGATATTGCTTCATTGTGTGCTGTCAGTCCATGCTTGACAAATGTCTCTCATCTGAGTTGGTGACATGCTGCACTGTATAAACGTGTTACTAGCCGGAGTATAAGTTATGTAAGTCAGAATGCTTTGAGACATCTACTAAGCACATTCATATGTAATGGAACATAATGTAATAAAAATAATGGAGGCAACATGGAAGATTTATCCCCCATTGTAAGCGTCCGTGCTCGGCTTTATTGCAACCTTCCTGACAACACGAGGAATCTGAAAATAAAGGGGTGTCCTTAGCTGCTGCAAAGATTTTTGTCCATCCCTGTAATACTTATACTTCAATATCCTTTCTTTCCTCATCATGAGGAGCATCTGCAACAAAAAAGAAGGAAAAGTCTGCATGCAAAAGCACCATTTTTCTCTGGGACTGTAGTAGAAAACGGATATTTAGATAATCAAGAAATGGTGTTTTATTTGTCACAAAATGTAGGATAATTCAAAGAAATATTTTATTTTATTTTTTTGTACAAATAATAAATATACTGATATCCACAAAAATCAAAGACACACAAATATATGTATGTGTATAGACAAATAGATGTGTTTTTGTTATGTGCGTATACCAGTTGAGCCTAACCCCCCCCCAATCATTATTATTTTTATTACATTTTCAGTGATAAAGTGCTGTTTTTACTGAGATGTCATAATGTAAGGCTGCAGGACTTTCAATCCAGCGCAGCTTTTAATAAAAGGAAGTGAACTACTACTAGCCCGTTGTACATTTAATGATCTGCCCGGTGAGTATCTTCAGGGGCTGTCTGTGCCACCAGCTGAGGCGTTAATACAAATATAGCAGATAATTTGAACTAACCTGTTTTTAAGTGGCTTTCCGGAAAAGTGTGACTGGCAGCTGGGGAAACATAGCACAAGTAATTAGGCATTTGGTGTTAGTGAACCATCTCGAGAATTCATGTTTTAGTATTTTGATGGCGGATTTTTTTATATGTACATAACGAAGTGTATTTATTTATTTATTTACAGATGTAATAAAATGAAAGAAACAAGTAATTCTTCCAAAAGAACATCCCCTCAAATAATCTCATTAGCTTTAGCTGTTTTCTTTCAAAAAAAAAAAGAAATAGCAGGGCAATTGATAAAGTCTTAGCTCCACCTTCGCCGCCTCTCCATTTTGTAATCACAGGCAGTTTGGCAGCACAACGTAATTAGTTTGCACGCCAGATTTCCCATGAGTCCCAACCTAGCTCAAAGCCAATACCCTCCTCATCAGCAGCCCAGAGACTAAACACCTAGTTTATCTGTTTCCCTCAAGGCTGTCCATCCACAGGGGGAGTCGGGGTGCCCTCAAAAACATTGCCAATGAGGGCTCCAATGCCTCGGGCAGATATGGGTGAAACTTCAGATGGCAGATGGCACAGCAACCATATCTTTAAGATAGAACTGCCAAACAAAAGTGGAACATCATATCCCGGAGCCTTCGTCCCAGGGCTCAGATTAAAGCATGAAATATATGTTTAGGAGAGCCACAAATGTCTTCATTTCAAAACCTGTAAGTGATCAAAGTGTCTGATGTGTGGAGGCATGCTGCAGGGGATTTTCATGTTTTCACCAGTTGACAATAACAGAGGAAATGTTTCACAGCTTGTTCAAATGTCATCATTGATAAACAGGACTGCGGAAGTTGAGTGTCATTTGTAACAGCAGCTGTCCGCTGTTGAATTTAGTGCTTTGCTTTACATCACATGCACATCTCAACATGATCTGTACATCTAATCTTTGTGACTGGATCCTTTATTTGCAATGAATTGTGAAGGCCACTCTTTTTTTTACTCTCTCTCTCTCTAAGTTATCAAGTTCACTCTTTGCTATTGTATTTGTAGACATGCATCCATCTGAATTACCTCTGCCAGTCAACAGCAAGAAGTGATCGGGCAGTTTTCAATACCACTAGGCCCATCTGGGAGAAGGACCCTTTTCATTCGACATACTTGGCTGCTTGTCGCCTCACCATAATGGGCACGCTGAACGAGCTCTGAAGCAATAGCCAATTAAATGCCTTGAAGGGGATGCCTCGAGGCCCCGCATGAAAGGCTTCAGGTGTGAAATGCTTGTTTTTCAAGAGTGCTGCAAATGTTGGCTGCTTTCAAGTTTGCTATTGCCCTGCTGGCTTCCCCTCGCAGCCCACCCCGGCAGCCCTTCTCATGTGGAGGAGGGTAGAGGCTAGAGGTGATGGGCAAGAGAAGACCACTTAAGTACAATTTTCTATTCAGTGTTCCAAACCTGTGCACTCTCATGTTTTTCACTGCTGCCTCGTAACAGCGAGCAGAGTTTCAGATGATGCAGACAATAGCTTTTTAGCGCACAATGGAGAGAAGAGGAGAAGCTGGAGGGCAGACGGGGGGAAACATGGATGAGACAGAAAGTCTGTGCACGAATCCAAACCAGAGGCTGCGGTGGCCGGGTGATGGCGAGGGTTGCCTGGGAGGGGGCTTAAAAGGAGATGGATTGTTTGCTAATTGTGGGCATTTCTGACCAGAACATGACAGGTTCAATGACTACTTTAATGCGTTATTGAATACAATAGAAGCTTGAAATGCAATTGTGAGAGAAGCTTCTGTTTTAGAGATTTGTTTTCAGCTCCTCCACAGGAGGGAAAAATGTTCATTCATAGTTCAAGTGTAAGAATAGGCTGCTGAGTCTCTTTGCAGAAATGGTTGTTAAAACCCACATTTATATCTAAAGTGTTATACCCAACTCCTTCATTTCTACTCTCATTTCTCCGGCATAGAAGTTGGGACATTCTTAGATCATTGAGGGGGACCATTAAAAGGTGCCTGCGGGAACTAAGAGGAAATAAATCCAGGGGGTATTAATCTTATTAGGATCATACATCACTATGGTGTCAGGTGAGGAGACAAATGAATGCGTGCCTGTTTATCTGAGCTAAGCTATGTGGTTTACCTAGCCATCGCTCAGGGCACATATTGCCACTAATAAATTGGTTAAGTCTGAGCAGAGTGATTGTAATGAAGTTAAGGGACCGGCTTGTCTGAGCTCTCGCCACTACAGCCAGCTGTTCTTGCATCCCCCTTTTTATCTGTCCAGAGCGGGAGAGGCCTTTCGATAAGATGAAGAGAGGAGAAATCAAAATAAATGGAGTCCATTAAAAGCAGCAATGCATCAACTGCTTGATAAAGTGATTAATAAACAGGCTGGGATTGTGATTGATTAAAGCATTTAATCAAACTGTTAAAAAGCACTATTGGCAATGGTGCATAAATGCCCTGCGTGTTTAAAATGTATAAAACACCACATAATCATTGTTTATTCTCTTTAAAATTACACATCTGTGCTCATCTGGAACATTTACAGTGAAAAAACATCCGTGCTGATATATTTTTTCACATAATTGATCAAAACTGTGCCCTGATATGTAGACATTGTCACTCTTTCGAGTCTTCCACATTTTTTACCCCATTTAACCAAAAGAGCAGAGATTGACTTAACAACATGGAGTCATTAGAGATGTTCTAAATGGGCCGGCATACACTTGCATAAGCCTTCCAAACACTTAGTAATCAATGACTAAAATCACTTGCAAATTCTGAGGTGGCGGCTGAGTGGGCAGTGACAGGCTGGTAACAGCGTCTGTGAGACTTAAATGTCATTCAAATTCACTAATGCAAAGAGAAATACATAGAGCAGATTGACACATCCAGCTCGGGAAAGTTCAACCCTGATGTATAGCACATTAAGATAGGAAATTACAGATGTTGTAATTATCAGCAATGAGCGACCTCCTGTGCTTGAAGGTGTTAGGTTAAAGTACTTGTACTTTGCTTTTAAGATGTGTAGCACAGGAGAAAAAAGATTGGCATATCTGCAAATGGCATGCTTTTATAGAAATGAATGGGGTAAATTGGGAGAAAGTAACGTTCAGAGTCATTTTCACAGTCAGGAGAAATGCATGATGTTCATTCACCTTCATGAGCTGCAGAGATGGGAAATAGAGTGTGTTTATTCTGCTGGTTATTTCCATCAGTTACTACGCACTTCTACAGTATACAGTACATATGCATCTTTTTTTTCTGACCAAAGCAAGCATTACAGTTTAAAAATGTTTAATGCAAATAAACTCCTTAGTGTTATAACAGTTCACTTATTTAACAGACCTCAAAGCTTTATGTGTTGTGCTTTATCATTAAGGTTAGGGTTAGGTTCATCAATTACAGCCTATGAGTATAAAACAGACTGAAAGAGGTAAAACACCTGAGGTCTCTAAGAATCTGAAAGGCTAAATAGGTATAACTGGTGGAAATCATGCACTCACAGTTTGCTGTACTTAACATCTGCATGTTGTTCTCTCTTTGTTCTCAGATGCTTTTATTTTATGATTTTAAACTCGACAGTCAAGGAAATGATTCATTTTTATAGCTTTGTTCTTGGCACAGTAATGGTAACAAGTAATTCAGATGTAGATAGTAAACACCACATATAAAATGTCAGTTTAAATGCTGTGTTTTATGTCATGGAGGAGTTATTTTTTTGTTCAGTAAAGAAAAACTTGTTTCCTCTGCAGTGCCCACCCTCATTTTGATGTTACACATGGGTTTTGCTATCTATTAGGGGTGAGAGTCACCAGTGGCCCCACGATACGATATTATCACGCTACTTGGGCCTCGATACGATATTGCGATTTTTAACATTTTGCAACATAGTGAGTATTGCTGTACAATACATTCTGATTCATATAATTTTTTCTACTGCTTATTAGCATTTGGCTTTTCTTTATGTTTGTCTTATTTACACTGTATTTTATTTTCATGTAGCACTTCTTGCAAACCTTTCATATATTTGTTGTACTAACTTTCTCCTGCTCTATGATGTCACCTCTGCCAACCTCACTGGACAAACAGTTGATTTTACTTTTCCATTATCATAGATTTGACTTCATATCAGTTATTAATTTGAAAAATCCATACTTGGTAAATAAGACGATACAGTATATCACCAGAAAAAATATCGTGATACTTTGCTGTATCGATTTTCTCTCCCACCCCAATTATCTTTGGTTCTAAAACGGCTGTGACTGTATTGCAGTGCTTTAGTCTCTTTTTAAAAATATCTTTACTAAAACCAGGTAAAGCATTAAGATTTCTCTTTGCAAGTGTATGTATGTATGCGAGTGTATGATTCAAAATGAAGCAGCCAAATCAAGCATTGTCTTTTCAAAATCTGCTATTTTCTTATAACTAGATAACAGCGTGATATTTCTTTCTATAAAAAAAAAGATTTGATTTTTTCCTCTACCCTGAGTTACAGTTCATCTAATTGTTTCTTTCTGCACTGATCTATATGGAGCCAACAATTTAGCAAAGCATGAAAAGTGCCAGCTCTGCCAAAGGGCATTTTTCCGCCTGCTACAGTCAGTTAATGCTGTCTTTGAACAGGCATTCCCATATCTCTGTAATCCTGAGGCCAAGACAGACAACCATGTATCCACAATGCAATGTTTTGGGCAAATGGTTGCATATATTTTTATGTCTGTTATCTCAAAAAGACAAGAAACATTCATAATAGACTCTAATTTGTGTTTTTAGAGCACTAATCATTTGACACCCAGTGAAAATTACCAGATACAGTGCATGCTATTTAATCTAAAGTCTCCTACAAATGAATAGAAGTCACATGAATGACACATGAATGACTTGTTAATTATGCAAATGGAGTGCTGCGAGAACCTGGTAAGTTGCGGGAACTCTGTCATCCAAAAGGGTATGGGGAGTGTGATAATGTAGCAGCCTGGCACGGCTCTCTTGATGTAATGACAGGTCAATTTGACTGGCTTTATGCTCTGCACCCCAGTTCCTTTCTCTGGCTCTGCCGTGGCTGCCCCCGCCGCCTCCCCCACCCTTCTTTCTCGTGTCCCTTGGACTTTGATTTCTCCTTTGTTCCATTGGCTCCTCTACTGACACTTCCCAAGAATAAGAGGTGCCACACAACCATGACCCTTTCACACCACACCGATGACCTCCGTCTCTTCCATGCATGACCCCTCACCCGGAGGCTGACAGCTTGATTAATTGAAGAATGTTATGATTTATGAGTATCTTCTCGTCATGATTAACAAGGCAACAGGTGGCACAACCAAACAGCTAACTGGAACATTTCTGGGAGAAGGGAAAACAATGAAGCCTTATATTTGGAAACGTTGCATTGTCCAACACTGACTGTCAAATTGGTTAAGCCATATATCATGTTGACTTTTTTCCTACCGCTGCAGTTTGGATATCTTCACAGAAAGGATTTCTTTGTGTCTTGTTAGGCAAAGTTGTCAGAGTCACAGGAACATGTCACATACCAACAATATGCTTGAGTCAAGCTCTTTACTATTGTGAGCATCCAAGGCTTCCTTTGGCATTTGAAGGAGACAAACAAGAAAATCCTGCATCAACGAGCACGGTTGGTTTTTATTTCTTTTAAAGCACATCTAAGATTTTTCTCAAACTGACTTCCTTGCATGATCTCCACACTGTTGCTTTTAAAGTGTCTTACACCGTTTCATTGCTGATGACAGTGTGTTAATGCTTTACTCTGCACAGCATCAAGTGTCATTTAGAGAGCAGCATGTAAGAGGAAATGGTGTCAGTGGTGACACAGGGCCACGTCCACTTGTCTGCCCAAAGCTTTGCGAGTTAACTCACCTGACAGCTTCTTAGATAAGTCGGTCGTGTAGTTGAGACACTTAACTCTTAATGGAAGTTGGTTGGCCAACTCAGGTGACAAGGGGACAGAGGTGTTGATGAGGTCATGTGAGACCTTCTCATTGACTCGGCCTGTCACATGGAAGGACTATAGGGCGGTATTGCAGCCTCTTGACACAGTGTCACCAGCAGACTGTCCAGCTGAGCAAAAGCGCATGGTGAGATGTGACCCTTTCTTTTGACATGGGTTCTTTCTGACCTTAGCTTCAGGCTGTGACAAGTGATGGATGATTGATGCCGCTGTTTCAGCAGCATCAGCGAAAAGAAAAAAGCCAGGAAACCCTGGAGATAGTGTTTCTTTCACACTCACAGTGACCTGTCTCATAGTCAGTGTGTGCCTGAGCATTGTCCTCATATTCCTTTTTGAGTAACATCTTGTTGCGCTTCGATACTGTGTAAAGGTGTGGTATGGGGTATGATGAGAGGGCTAGCCAGTCTGTGTGCCCATCAAAA